AGCTGTTTTTATGCATTTACTCTTATCTGAGCTCTAGCTGTACTAATCTGAGTATGCTACCACAGAGGCTGAAAGGAAGAGAGAAGCACTTTAAGCAGATGGAAATTAAGCACCCCCAGTTAACTGGAAGTCTGTCAATTCATCTCAAGCAGCCAAACTACGAACCTACCCTGTATGTATAAAAGCCTCTACTAATTGCTTTGTTCTCTCCTAGCAGGCTTGAAGAATTTTAATCAGGTCTTGTGGGCTTTTTTTCTACATTCAAACACTGAATTTGAACATTCTTTCCCAATTAAGCCTTTCAGCCAAGCTACGGAAGGAGCTCCAGGGCTTATCCATTACCTCAAGACTCTGTCTACCCACCCATATATTTATATAAATCACACACCTACAGTTACATACATCTGGAAGTTGAACACTGAAGCCCTACTGGTTCTCAGACAGTTCTATTAAAGAAGGTAAAAGAGAAGAGCTGCATTCCACACCAGAGACCACTTCTACGCCAACGAGCAGAAGGCAAACACCAAGGTGTGGAACAACGAGCTCTGAAGCAAAGATCAGAAAGCTGCTGGTCAGCTTCTGCTCGTGGGTCACTGCAGGCTCCTTGCTCACTGAACAGCTCACCTGTCCTACAAACAAACAGCAGGCTTCAGAGCACTCATGCTATTGCTCCGGAAGCCCTGCAGCACACTGCAGTGATGCTGGTGGGGAGGAGGGCAGGACGTGCAGCGCGCTGTTGTGTTAGCAAGGCTAACAGTTAGGACAGCATTCAATATCTTCAGCACAGCAGTTTGGAAGCTGCTCACACACCAGATGAGAATCACAAAAATGACAGAAGGAGTGAAAAGCAACAGAAAGGCTCGAACACCTCCTCCCATGTGGGACAGGCTGAGAGCTGGGGCTGTGCAGCATGGAGAAGGCTGCAAGGAGCACTGAGAGCAGCCTTCGATATCTAAAGGGAGACCATAAGAAAGAAGGGACAGACCCTTCGGCAGGGACTGCTGTGCCAGGACGAGGGGAAACGATTTCAAACTAAGAGAAGGAAGATTAGACACAAGGAAGAAGTTTGTTACAACACGGGCAGTGAAGCAGTGGCACGGGGCGCCCAGAGAGGCAGCGGGCGCTGCTCCATCCCTGTAAACACCCGAGGTCAGCCTGCGGGGCGCTGAGCACCGGCGGAGCTGCAGGCGTCCCTGTTCATAGCAGAGGAGTGGGACCGGAGGGCTTTGAGAATCATTTCCGACGATTCTACGAGCCGACCGCGATCCACGAGAGCAAATCTCGAGTAGCTCCGCGCCTCTCCCGGCGCCGGCCGCAAGGATCCTCGACCTGGAAGTGCCACGCAGCGAGCAGCGCAGGAGGATCTGATTTACCCACAGACAAAGCTCCGTTCAGAGCCCCGCGGCCGCTCAGGGCGGAGCCCGGCTACCCGCCACGCGGGACAAAGGCGGGCCGGGGAGCAGCGCCCAGCCCGCAGCCGCGGCGCGTTGCGGCTCCTCGAGGGAACAACGAACCCGCGGCCGCTTGCCCCGACGCGGAGCCGGAGCCCCGGGAGCCCCCGGAACGCGGCCGGACCCCCCCGGCCTCCGCCCCTCGGCGCCGCGCCCCGGCCGAAGCCCCCCGCGCGCCTCCGACCCACGCCGAGCCCCGGAACCGAGGAGCCCGCACCGCCCCGCGGCGCCCTACGGCCCCCAGCCGCCTCACCTGGAGCTGGGCTTGGCCGCCTCGGCCTCGGGGCCCTGGAACATGATGCGAGAGCGCGAGCTGCACGGCGCTCCTCCTCGGCCGCCTGGGGAGCAGGTAGCGCCCCGCCCCACCCCGTGGTTGGTGATCGCCGCTGTCCATCAAGGCGAGCCGCCTATCGAAGCCGGCTCGCCCCTCCCGGGGTCCCGCCCACCCAGAGCGCCTCGCAGCTGGAGGGAAGCTTGAACGCGGCACGCGCCGGCGCCGGGCCCGGCCGGCTCCCATTGGCAGCTTCGCGTGTCAATCAGGGAACAACGGAGCGAAGAGGAAGGGCGGGGCGAGCGGGGGAGGAGATTTAAAGGGGCGGTGGGGACCGAACGGCGCCGGGGTTTTTGTGTGGGTGAATGGGAACCGCGGAGTTGGTCAGGTTGGGAAAGACCTTAAAGATCATCGAGTCCAACCGCAACCCAATCATACGCCCTAACTCTCACAACCCATCCCTAAATCACGTTCCTGAGCACCACATCCAAATGGATTTTAAACACGTCCCTGGCAGCCCGTTCCAGTGCTAACCACCCTGTAAAGTCTTTCCTGATATCCAACCTAAACCTCCCCTGGTGAAACTTGAGGCCATTTCCCCTCATCCTGTCACCAGTGAGAAGAGACCAACCCCGCTCTGCTGTTGTCACCTTTCAGGTATTGGAAGAGAGCAGCAAGGTCTCCCCTCAGCCTCCTCTTCCCCAGACCAAACAGCCCCAGTTCCTTCAGTCTCTCCCCATAGGCCATATTCTCCAAGCCCTTCACAGCCTTGTTGCCCTTCTTTGGACCTGCTCCAGCACCTCCGTGTCCTTTCTGTACTGAGGTGCCCAAAACTGAACACAGCACTCGAGGTGAGGCCTCACCAGTGCTGAGTGCAGGGCAGGATGACTGCCCTGGTCCTGCTCACCGCATCATTCCTGATCCAAGCCAGGATGCCACTGGCCTTCTTGGCCACCTGGGCACAGTGCTGGCTCACATTCAGCTGACTGTCCCTCAGCACACCAAGGTCGTTTTCCCAAAGTTATCGGGAAGAGCTGAAGATTTTTCTTAGCTGGCAGCAGGAAGGAGCAGCTGAGCAGAGCTCACACAGGGCTGAGCCTTCCCAGCGCATGGATGGGAGCTGAATCCCTACCTCAGAGAGGGAGGGGAAGCATGGGATGAGGCGGGGGGCATCGTGCTCCCCAAGATGTGCTTCAGTTCTTTTCACAGGACTACCCTCATGCTTTCCGATTGGCTGAAACGTGTATGCAAAAGGAATCACAAATGGGTAAAGTAGCATAGGCTAATTCAGGCTGAAAGGAACTTCAGGAGTCCTCCAGTTGCTGGAAGCAGGGCGAGCCTCCAGCAGCCTCCAAGAGCTCTGCTGAAGCTGCACAGCTGCTGGTGATCCCTTCAGTGCCTGGTGGCGGGTTTCCTCCAGAGTTACGTATATAAATGCAACAGCACAACACCTCCATGCTCCAGCTCCTGCTCATCTGTCGTTAGTGAAGATGTATGGGGTGTGTTTGGGTGGGGGAAGAATCAAAATAGACTCCCCCCTCAATCCTTGTTAGTGGTGACCAGTGTCCTGCACAGGGAGTCAGGACAGAGAACGCTCTGGTTTGACTTACTTCTGACATTAACAATATGGAAAGTACTACAGCCCCTAATCAGAACGTTCCCCCTCACGACAATCCAGGGAATTCTGGGAGATGTGAATGGTAATTATTCACATTGAAAACAGGTTAAACGAGAAATCTGATAGGCCATGAACTGCAATGAACACACTGGACATGAGTTAGACCAAGTATTAGTATGTATTTATGCACAAGAATAAAAACAGCTTTACAAGTTGAATTGGAAATTTAAACAGAGGAAGTTTAACAGCTTTTGTATATTATATTAAATAACCAAAACACCTTTTTCCAAAATTGGTAAAGAATAAATAATATAATTTACAATATGGTACAAAAAAATAATCAGTAAGGACAAGCATTCTGCTTTATACATACACTATATAGGTATATTTATAATCTATAAAACAAATTCACATCTCAAACAAGCCAGAAACCTTAGATGATATGGCTTAACTATTATTAAAAGAAACAGCATTAAATTTTGCTGCCAGAACCATAAGCTCTAAAGCAGTTATCATGTTTCAATAATTAATGATAACTTATCGCCGTAGTGCTTGCCAAGGTTTCACTTAGTTAACATTTACAAATTGTTTTGAAATTAAGAGATTCAAAGGTTTGAAAAAGTTAAAAAAAAAAAAAAAAAAAAAAAAAAAGAAAAAAAAAAGTGCAGTACTTTCCTTTATAAATGCATCCGAAGTTTGAGAGTAAAAACCAAAATGCAACTTAATCTCCACTCCGGGATCTCAGTCAGTACATGAGATGGTTTGTAAGTTCAGATTTGATCCAAGCTACTTAATTTAGAAATATAAACAGGGGTGTCAAGGAAGGCCTAACAAAGCCATACTAAAAACAATTAGTATTCCTATGCTTAGTAGATTTAGTGATAAAGGCTAAACTAACTGCGTGGCTAAGCGGGGTGCAGCACCCAGAAGAAGGAGCTCTGTCAGCACACAGCAGCTGATTCTCTGGGTGCAGAACTGCTTTTCACCCAGGCTGTTACGACAGCAAATACCTGGCTGAGCCACTCAGTGCTTCTGCGTTGTACATACAGTCACTAAACCAGCATGGGGCAAACCTAGCAGAGGTTTACAAGTAGAACTAGTAAAAAACTAAAGCCTTACAGCAATTAATACCAGAACTGGAGGTTCTTAGCGTCCGTTTGTCCTCTTCAACTGTCCCAAGTGCAGCAGGCAGCTATTAAGCTAGCAAAGTTATGTTTCATTTGAACAATCCTACCCAAACGTCAGCACAGCTTGCTTGTATGTTTGCTTAAAATAAGCTGGCATTGTTACAAACACAAATCCTCTTACTTCTGCCAGGGAAGCTGCAAAAATTAAAACTGAAACAAAAAAGTTTTGGCTTTTAGCAGTATGTATGCACACACACACACACACACACACGTGCATCCACATCCACCCACCAGCTTTTCCCTTAGGCACAAATTAAAGACCGTTGGTATGTAAAGCACATCCACAGAGAATACAGAAATAAGTCAGAAGTGTGTTTGAGTGACTCTTCATATGGTAAGGTAACGAGTTCTGCATCAATTCAAAATTACCACTATTACTTAAGTTACTGCCAAGTTTTTCCCTGATAAAGCTTTATTGTCCTGAAAGGGCTGTTATTAAAATGCTGTTTGCAGAGCACTGCACTTCTGAAGGCAGGAGTCTTTAGGAACTTCAGTCCAAAAAGACAGGACCACGCTGAGAGATTCTGGTGAAAGAAAGGATGCTAAACTCCGTTTTGTCATCAGAATTTTTCAGAGGCTGATGCTAAACACATTTCTAACCATAGAAGTGTTGGTGCTGAACTTACTTCTGTCATTTCCACTCTGTTATTACTCAGTGGTCCAAGTCTACTTGCAATGGTCCAGCATGTTAAGATGTTCTGATCTCAGAGCACCATTAGAAATAGCCACTGTGTTAACATTCATTCTTTTTCCTCTATGGCAACTGAATGGGCTGAGAAGGGACAGCCTGACAGCTCCCTGCATCAGGAGGCAGAAACTCTTCACAGAGCTTGATGAAACGCTCTGCCTTGTGGTGCAGCGACACTGGCACCACTTCTAGGCAATCTAACAGTCAAAATTAGCACGGTATCCACCTAACCAGTGGCATGGGTTGAGAAGATGCAACGTCTGTCAAGCTACCTACATATGTTACAGACCACCAAGCAGGTCTTTCACAATGCTGAAGTTCAGTTTTTTGTTACAGTACTTGCTTGGAATACATCACATCTCCTCCTGCACGTCCTGTAATCCAGTCCCAGCTACAAGAGGAGCCCTCTGCTTCTGTCCTGCAAGGCTGAAGGGTTTTTGGAGGTACAGCATGTATGATAACCAGCACTACTAACATGTGAAGCCAAAGCCAAATGGAGACACTTTGGTAAGACTGAATCAAAATATAGCTCGACTTTCAGCAAAACTTCACACATTTTGGAGGAGTGACTCGAGATTCATAGATATTCTCTTCATAACAAGGATGAATGCTCAGAATCACAATCCTCAGCACTCATTCTTCGTTTGAGATTTCAAATGCCAATTTATGTAATTTCCTGATAATCGCATCACCATTCTCAAACAAGACTCCCTAAAGATAACGACAGAAATAAAGAGCAAGGAATGTCCCACATGACCCAGCACAGAAAGTTAGCTCACAAGTATGAAATTCTCAGTTTTTCTAGTCACCACCATCTTCCTGCTACTAATACAAGCCTGACTCCCTGCTGGGAACAACTGCTGATGCTAACGTGGTTTTTACACAGGTGCGTAGTTCCTATGCCAGAGAATGTAGCAATCTTATGTGGTGTCTTGGAATGTCATATAAATCTCATGACTTTTTGACTGACATCAGTAAAGTCGCTCTGGGCTGCACAAAAGGTGCCTCAAAACTCATCACGTTTTCCCTAAACGATAAGAGCATAAGGCAAACTATGGAGCAGTAAACCAAAATCTGTGTGAGCAGGGTAAAATGGGAAAACAGCAAATGCCACCAGTGCATCACGAGCAAGGTTACAAGCAGAAAGTCTCAGTCAAATGCCTTGTAAAAGCATCTAAAGGCAGGCAGGCAGAATTCCATCCACCAAGTATAGTGCAAGTTGGGAAAGTGAACCCCTGATAAATGCCTAAGAAATGGGGAAGTTTTGTTTATTTAGTAACAATATAAAGTTGAGGTTCATATAGGACTGTCCCCTCGGATAACTTCAGAGTGACTTAAAACAGCCAGAGGACTGGAGAACAGACAAGTGCTAAACAAAGGGGCACAGAAAGGTACTCTCTCTCTAAACTGGCAGGAAAGGAAATAGGAAAAGTCTCCTGAGTTATAAAGGTAGAATTGAAGTAAAAACCAACTGCAAAAAAAGTAACTTTAGATTCCTTTCAACCAGCTGGAATCAGGATCTGGGTCTTTCAGATATTGAAAGACTATCATTAAATGCATAGGGATTTAGCAGAGGGAGTTCCAGATCCATCAGAGCCTGGGAGCAACGGTAAAGAAAATGATGCCCTGAGGTACTGCAGAGCACCTGGAATTCATAGAACAAGGAGCAGCTAAGGGGTTAAGACAGGACCTGACACCTTTTCTCTTCATGACACAAGACAGATTTCAACAGCTCGAGCATTAAAATACTTTTTATCTATAGATTACATTACTCTTTCCTATTTCCTCTCCTGGGAAAATTCTCAGCGCTTGCTTTTTTTTTTTTTGCTTTTTTTTTTTTTTTGAGAAAGATAGCAATATATACAGGTTTCCAGCACAGCCAAAACTAATGACAAAGCTTTCATAGTGATAAACTCTTTTGCAGTGTTTCCTGACATGAAAAGCGACTGTTCCTCACGGAAAGTGGAAAAGCACTTTCCAACCCCTGGGGTGAACTGTGAACGTGGTGAAGAATCTCAAAGGTGAAGAATGTGAGTGCAGTCAGAAGGATGACTGAGATGTGTGAAGGGCTTTAAAACTAGAGTAAACTCCCCAGGGATCCATGCAATCTGGGAGAAGGGTAAAGCGGAGCTCCCCTACAAAACAAGAAAGCAGGCATGGGCCCCTGCTGGAATGGTCAGAGAAAGACAGGCAGAGAAACATAAAGGTCTACGAAGCATCAGAGAGTTGCAGCATCTTTGAAGAGAGTGCAACACATTTCAGTTTGCCTGCATTCACACACAGAGTGCCAACCAGGACACGTCAAGACGCAAAACGTTTTTTGTACCTACCCACCCCCTTCATTCTCCACAGCTTCAGTGTGGAATCCAAATCATGGTTATTTTGAGAACTATGCAAAAACAATTCATGTAGGGGAGCTTCTGGCAATACCCTTTCCTGCTTGAGCTTCTTGCCTCGGCCATTCCAAAGTACAAGTCCAGGACTGTCTCACAAACCTGCCATCTTATACCACTGATGCAGGGGACACACTATTTCCTGTAATATCATTCCACATTTTCTTGTTCCCAGTATATTGCACATTCCAGGACCTGCAAGCAGTTCTTCAGACCTTTGAAGACAACGCTTCTTTTTCAGAAAGAAGTGCACCAAGACAGGGACAACTGAGCGTCTGCAATCTGCTCTTGCCATGATCCAGCACTGCAAGCTCCAACTTAAGCTGAACAGTCTACACCAGCCTGCTGGTCTCAAACACTCACTGGGAGAGATCCCCAATAGGGGGACCACCACCTCCTCCATCAAACAGAATTTCCCTGCGGGTTGGCTCAGGTATGGATAATTCCTGGGCAAGGTCATTAAAACGAGATATGTAATCAATGCTGTTTTCATTCATCATGCAAGCCAACTGGGAATCCACCACCTGTAAGAGACATGACAGAAGAGTTACATGTCAGTGGAAATTTCACAGAATTGAAGGGCAAGGGAGGACCTGCGATCACCTTGTCCAACTCCCCTGCTCAAACCAGGTCAACAAGAACAGGCTGCCCAGGACCACATCCAGTCAGGTTCTGAGTATCTCCATAGGTGGAGACTCCGTTACCTCTCCAAGCAACCCGTTCCAGTTTCTGACGACCCATAGCAAAGGAGTTTTCTAATGTTTACATGGTCTTTCATGCGTTTCAGTTTTTGCCCACTGTTTCTTGTCTTTCATTCTCAGCCTCCCCTCACATGAAAGATGCTCTTCGTCTCACTTCTTCTGAGTTAGAGAATAGCTCTTAAGTGTGGTTAAATGTAAGCCTCTCAAAAAAAGAAAAAGGCTCTGAACGAGCCTTACCTGCACATCCTTAATTCAGCATGAAGCTGTACCACCAAAGGTGTTGTGCAAAAGCTGTATATATATATTGCATTCTATTTAATACCTGCATTTTTTGTAAATAAAACTTGATTCTGCAGGACACTTAATAATAGGCCTTACAGAATCCTCTCATCATTAAAGCTATTTTTAATGACACCTGCTTCCTCTAAAGACTCCCATACAAACCTGCATCTGCCACAACAGCAACAAAACACTGCAGCAGCTTTGGCGTGCTTAAAATTTTGACTTAACCCATTTTCCTCTGAAAGCAGTTTGTAAGATCAAGGGCTGCACTGTCACTTCAAAACCACAAAGAAACTAAAGGCATGCGTGCTAATCAACATGCATACTCTACAGATTCTCAGTTTGCAGAATCTTTGCATTTACACCAGGAAATGGAGCTGTGCAAAGACTCTGACGCTCAAAGAAACACTGGACCAACATTTGCTTCCTGCAGCTTCTGGTTACAAAGTTTATATACAATTTCTTTATCCAAATCCAATAGAGGAATGACATTTTCCTTCCCTTGAGACAAGCACTCATGAAGTTACTCTGTACACGTTGTTACACCAAATCAGTGACTGTAAATTATATGTTAATTAAGATTGGAAAGGACCTGAAGAAATGTCAACAGACTGCTCAAAGCAGGGTCACCTAGGAGGACAGATCACCTTATCTGGGGTTTTACCCTCATTAGTCCTGAGAAGTTCTCAAGGCAGACATTGCGCAATCTCTCTGGGTGACCTGTTCCACTGCCTATTTATCCTCAGGGTGATAAAGCTTTCCTTTATAGCTTCTGTAGTCAGAGTCTACCTCTACCTCCTCAAACCAAATGTAATTCTACCAATAGAGAGGATAACTACATTTTTGGTAACTCAGCATTAGCCATTTCACGCTTCTTCTTTCTGGGCCTATTTGTTTTTTTCTACCAGTCCTCCAATTGTAACGTAGGTGCACCAATATTTAATCCTTCTCTAATCCTTTGTCTTTTCAACTCCTTTTCTATGAAGTAGGACACACAAAACAGAAGAATTAAAGGGAGGATTAAAACTCCCTCTGTCAAAACAAAGCTATACCCAACAAGGCACATATGAGCTCTTCCAGCAAAAAGAGCCTGTGTCAAAGTTATCCAAAGCAGTTCCACACAACAGCTCTCACCTGAGACCATTTCGCATCATTCATTGAAGACTGTAAACTTATTTTCTTAAGCTACAGAACAGATATTACAGCATCTTTGTCTTAAGTGCCTCAGGAAGATATGATGGACAAAATGCAGTAACAGTGTGCTAAAAAAGGAAGCCAAAGCAGCTGGAAGCCATTTGATTACATACCTCTGCTACGTCTGCCAGAGAGCGCGATACAAAAGAGTCCCGTGAGTTCCCATCCAGAAGGCTAGGTCCCAGCAGGGAGGTGCCACTGGCAGTCCCAACAGGAGTTGGCAACATCTTCCGTCCCTTCTCGGGGGATATGAAACTTGCTAAAAAGAACAGGCACATCAGTAAGACACTGCACAGAAAAGTTTGCCACAACGACGACAAAGACAAGGAAACTACAAAGGAAGGATGACTGTCTCCTCTATCTCCTATAATTATATGTTGCCAGTATGAACACCATCAGCAAAGTGCAGGCTCATTAAGTTTAACTAAAAAAAAAAAAAAAAAAAAAAACACAAACAAAAAAAATCCCCAGGGCGAGCAAACAAAAAAACCACCTTCCCCCAATAAATGAACTCAATGATCTCATCTCTGAAGCTAGGCTCACCAAGCACACAGCAAAGCCTATTTTCCAGCAGCAGAGCCAAGGGCACCTTTTCATTTTGGCAGAACATCCAAATGTCTCAACCAGCTGATGAGTCAGGCCCCAAGCAGACTCCACAAAGAAGTACCAATGAATTATTCACCCAAAGGTATGGGCTTCAATTTAGCAACAGGATTGTTTTAGAACAGATTTGCAAAGGGAAAGAAAATACATCCAAGGCAAAAAGGACAACAAAAAAAACCCCAACAACAACAACAAAAAACAAAACAGTAAGGGAAAAATTCCACAAGTGTCTTACTTAACTATTTTCCAAAGGATCACTTCCACTAAACAGAGGGTTTTTCTGTTTTTTGTTTTTGTTTTTTTTTCTTTCTTTCTTTTTGTACACATGCATTTCCTCATATACCAACACTCACAAAATAAGCTGCTGAGAGACGAGTCTGTGGAGTCATTGGGGTACCACTGAGGGTCGTGGCTGGGAGAGGCAATCCAGTTCTGCTGAGGGCTACTGGATGGGGACGGAAGACTTTTGGAGCTGTCACTGCCATTCAGCTTTGCAGGAGAAAGAGAAACCCCTTCACCTGTAAGCCAATGTGAAGAGTCACTGGTTCAGTCAATGCGGTGAAGTCACAGGACACCACAGCAGTTTACATGAAAAACAACAAGAAACCACCTACACACATCAGAAAAGACGGGTCAGCCACGCAACGGGTTTTCAAAACACATCTTTGAAAAGTTCAAAAACAGCTTCCCAAAAATTTCTGCTGACGTGCAAGATGACAAGGATTCTTTTTAATCATTGTTTTTAACGTTAACAAGACGACCTTAGCTAAACTCAGACTTACTGTATTGACCAGAGCTTATAGCTATTTCAATGATAGAATCACTGATTTGAGTGGCAGGTTCTCCTTGAGAAAGTACATCTTCAGGTGGTCCAGGCAGAGAAATATCCAGGAGAGCAGAAACATTGGGAGGAGAGAGCCGGGTACTGGAAGCCTCTAGTGAAGGAAGTGGAGGAGTGGAAAGACCATTTTGGAGGGGAGTCTTGGACAGCTCTGACAGGGAAAGGACTGACGTGCCCTGTTACAAGAAGCAGAGTGCAGTGTTCATGAATTTATGGCAGTCCTACATACATCTATGGAAAAAAACCCAACAACTTAGCTTCTAAACAACAGAATAAAATGATGGAGTTTAAAAGATAGAACAATAACCTAATATATTCTTAACACTTCTTTTAATGATCAAAAATGCCTCAAAATATTCTTCTCACTTAGCTACAGAAGATTGTTTCCGTATTTTGGATATCCACTCATAAGTACAACTCACGTTCTTTATATAAAAAAAGATACTTGCAAGCACAAGCAAATGTTTCTCAGCCCATAACCTACCAAGTCATCAGAAAAATATTGGTCAGTAACATTCCAAAGAACATTTAATGCATCTACAAAACAGAAATAAGCACTGAACTATAATAATAGAATTATTTTCTAGGACCTGCAGGATAGTTTTTAAGAATTAAGTATTACATTTGCCTTCGTACAGACAAAAAAAAGCCCTGTAGCTGCCTAATGATTATGAAGATTTTAAAAGCCTATCTCCTATCTCCTTACAGCCAGACTTGCCAAAACAAAATCTTCTTTTGTAAGCAATCTTGGTTCTAGTGCCCCTTAGCACAACTGTTTGTGTTTTTTTCTGATGTACATCAGAAAATGAGTAATGTTTTGAAAACCCAACTGGTATTACCAGTTACATACCCGTGTTCCCAGGTAATTGCATACCATTAATAGAGTCTTGTGGGAAGTGCCAAGTCCTGCACCTGGGCAGGAACAAACCCATGCACCAATATATGCTAAGGGCTCACCAGCAGGAAAGCAGCTCTCCAGAGAAGGACGTGGTTTTCTGGTAGAAACCAAGCTGAGCATGAGGCAGCAATATGCCCTCACCACAAGGAAGGCTAATGGTATTCTGGGCTGCATTAGGAAAAGCACCGACAGCACATCAAGGAAGGAGTTCCTTCCCTTCAGCACTGGTGAGGTCGCACCTGAAGTGCTGCATCTACTTTTGGACTCCTCATTAAAAACTGAGACACAAATACATGAAAGAGAGTCCAGAGAAAGAAGTGGAGCATCTTATAAACATCCTTCCCCTACAGGAAAGCCAGGGAGGGACTTCCATAAGGGCATGCAGCAACCGGACAAGGGGAAATGGTTTTAAACTGGAAGAGGGTAAATTTAGATATGAGAAAGACATTCTGAAGGTGGTGAAATGCTGAAACAGGTTGCCCAGCAAGGTTGTGATGCCTCTCTCTGGAAACACTCAAAGCCAGGCCAGGTGGGGCTGTGAGCAACCTGGGCTACAGGGAGGCATCCCTGGCTATGGGGGATTGGAACTGGATGATCTTACAGGTCCCTTCCAAGTCAAATCATTCTATGATTCTATAATCTCTCCTACATGGAAAGGATAAGAGAACTCCAGCTCAGAGAAGAGAAGGCTCAGGGGGAATAATATTAACATACATAAATGCCTGAAGGGAGGGTGCAAAGAGGTCAGAATCATGCACTCTTCAGTGCTGCTCAGTGACAGGACAAGAGGCAAAGGGCATAAAATGAAGCACAGAGACTTCATCTGAGTATCAGAAAGCACTCCTTTACTCTGAATGATGACTGAGCACTGGCACTGGCTTTTCAGAAAGGCTGCTGAGATACTCATCCTTAGAGATCATCAAAAGTCACCTGGACATGGTTCTGGGCATCCTGCTCTAAATGGCCCAAGCAAAGCAGGGGGAATCTGGACAATGTGACCTCCAGAGGTCCCTTCCAACCTCAACCACTTCGTGATTCTGTAATATACAGAGTGATTCTGAGAAAAGGAACCAGAACCTAAGACCTCATTCACCACAGATATACCTTAGTAGGTTCATATCCCCAGCATAAATATATATATTAAAAATATATATTTTAAAAATAAAATATATAAATATAAATAGAAGTCTGAAGTAGAAGAGGTAGGAAGCTGGCATGGCTGAACAAGGACGTGCTGATCAAACTGAGGAAAAAGATGGAAAGTTACAGGCAGTGGAAGCAGGGATGGGTGGCCTGGGAAGAATAAAGAGATGCTGTCTGGACATGCAGACACAGGATTGGAATGAGGCACAGATGGAACTGAACAAGGGATATAAAAAACTACAAGGAGTTTTACATTATATTGGCCAGAAAGACAGAGGAGAGTACACCCCTTCTTATAAATAACAAGGGAAAACTGGTTTCAGCAGTTATGGAGAGGGCTGAGGTACTCAGTGAGTTCTTTGCCTCGGTCTTTCTTCACTGGCAGTCAGGCTTCCCACACCACTCACATCCTGCAGTCTCAAGGTGAGGCCTGGGGGAGCAAAATCCCTCCCAGACTAAGAGCAAGCAGAGGAAGTCTGAAACTGCCTCATGAGATTGAATGTGCACAAGTCTGTGGGACCAGATGACAAGCATCTCAGAGTTCTGGTTAAACTGCCTGATGTGGTTGCCAAGCTGCTCTCCATGCTATCTGTGAAGTCATGGCTGCCAGGTGAAGACTGAAAAATAAAGAAACATCACTTCCATTTTCAAGAAAGGGAGAAAGGAAGACTTGAGAAATGACAGGCTAATGAGCCTTACATCTCTGCCTGGGAGCAGGGAGCTGACTCTCCTGCTATGTTAAGGCACATGAGAGACAAGGAGGTGACCCAAGAGAGCTGGCACAGCTTCACGAAGGGCAGATCATGCCTGATCAATCTGGTGGCTTTCTGTGATGGGGTGACAGCACCAGTGGGCAAAGCAAAGGCAACTGCTGTTGTCTACCTGCACTTGTGCAAGGCCTTTGACATGGTCTCACATGACATCCTTATCTCTAAAGTGAGATGGATCTGAAGGGTGTGCTATTTGGTGGATAACAAATTGGTTGCACAGTGGCAGTCAAAGCGTCGTGGTCAATGGCTGGAGCTAAATGGGCTTTGAGGTCCTTTCCCACCTAAGCCCTTCTATGATTCTACATCCTGACAAATGTGCTTCCTTTCCGTTATACTCTTCAATTAATTTTTATCTTTATTTTTTTGCCTGTACCTGTCACAGGTCATGGACGTCATGGACCCACTGGAGAAGGAAGGTGGGGACAAGATGACAACACTCTTAGACAGCAAGTATGGCAGCACCTACCTTCTAAGCAACTACGCCTTATTGCATCCAGCATCAAGAAATGTGATTTTCTGAAGTGGATGCTGACACAACAATCATGTTTTTAGGCTTAATATTCCTCCCTCAGCAATGTACTGAAACAAGTATTCCTCTTTCAGCAAAGGACTGCTGACATCTTTCTTTGTGGAGTCTAAAATACAAATGTAGTTTATTGCTGAGCAATCATAAACAAGTCAGACTCGTATATCCTTCAGAAGTTAGAGCCTGTCACATTTGTTTTGCATTTTTAGAGAATGGCCTCCAATTAAATTTAAACATTGTTTCTGAATTTCTTTAGATGCTAGATTTTCAACTCTACCAAACACTAACGATGGAATGCAACTACCTGAGAATAAGGGTATCTAGCTAGTAGGAGCAGCAGCGTTTCTAAAACATTACTCCTTTCACACAGCTGTTCTTTCAACACATACTCTACCTGAAAACCATCAGGAACTGTCTCCTGCTCGTGACGTGTTGGTAGGCTGATAAATGGAACTCGACACCCAGAGCCTGAGCCCTAAAAGGAATAACAGGAATCACATAGGTCACACTTTCACATAAGATAATGGCAATATAGCTAGGGAGATGAGAGAAGTGTATATCACCATTTATGCACGTTCTTCCTACATATTCTGCCTTTCAAAATGGTCCATCAGCTCCCCAAGAACACGACAAGGACTGACATGCACCAAGGATCTCAGCAAAGGAAACCAGCAATGAGAAATCTGTTTTCATTCCAATTGCATCACAGAAATCCATGTTTTGTCCCCATATTTCTTTCTGAGTCACTGTCTCTTGAAATGCTACTGTTTCTTTTTATGCCCAGTTTTTTTGGATGGACAACTTGCACAGTGTCACAGATGAAGGCTACTCCATGGGATGGAAATCCATTCAACGCAATGGTGATTTTATCCTTCAGCCCCTGAACACGTGCCACGCAGCACAGCCTAGATTTGCCATGGTAAGTCATGTCTAATAGCAAGCTACAAGACATAGGTCACTGGAGACTCATCATTACTACAGCTTTTCACACAATGGAAGGACAAACTCAAGAGACTCTGACCTCCACAGTGGTGATGGAGCTTCCATTCTGATGTGCAGTCGTCGACTCCTGCCCTGTTACCACTGTGGTCACTCTGTCTGGTGACAGTGGAGATACACCTGACAAACCATCTGCATCCAGGACAGGCACAGGGCTACCAGGGATAATACCAGCACTTTTAGCTGCCAAGTCAATAGCACCTTTGGTGAAACAAACAGAACAAAAAGACACACAAAAAAGACACGTTTCAGGTCTTTCCTTCACACAGTTACCTTGTAGTGACACTCCTAAAAATAAATAAATTAGTTTTTTAAACACTGGCCAGTAAATGAAAACTTGATTCATGCAAAAAGAATGGTTACTATCTGATCATCTCTATCCATTTTTCCCTCATGATGTATAATGTTCATTTCAGCTGAACATTTACAATTTTTTGCTCTGCTCCTGTATGTTGTCAGGTATATCAAAACAGTTTGGTTCTCCCCTCTTTTTTTTTTTTTTGTCCTGAAAATTATTACATAGTTGGGTATGCATTTCCTAGAAATTTCCTATGGTTTAACAGAGGAGGCATAGAAACAATAGTTTTATTTTGTTACCTTGCCCCCAGCAGTGATTTAGTCTCAGTATATAAACTTAGGTTACTGCATGAACAACATCATCCAGATCTTTGAAAATCCATGTGTGTGAATGTCTTCCCGTCACATAGAGTTCCCTAAGCCTCTAAGAGGAACTCACTGCATTATGTCACTAAGCACTCTAGTTATAGGACCATCTTTTGTTACAAGGCAGTTGCTGCTGGGGCTATGCTGGCTTTTTCTTCTTTTTTGCAGAGCTCCCAGTGCCGTGTTTGTACATGACTGAATGAAACTTACAGCAGATGTCACCACCTCTTTCTTTTTTTCTGTAAAGTGGTCTTGCAGAAAACGATCAAACAACCTATCACCCAATTGTTCACCAATTCTAAACCCCTTTCTCCAGCCACGAAGTCTGCACGTAAGATGCCATTTACAACATCCCGCATTTTCCTTGACTTCAAAAGGCACTAACCATTCTTACCCAGGAAGAAGAAACCAACAGTGTAACATCACACAGATCGCAACAGACCTTATTTTCACAGCTTAACAAATGACTTACTGGACAGATGGTTGGTAGCCTGTGTTGGAAGAACTTTGGGCACAATGGGACGCGAGACAGCAGCTTTAGTCAGTGAGGACTGGATTGGCCGAAATGAACCTCTCCCTAAGTGAAAGATTAAATACCAATCAAGCAAATGAGATCTGACATCTTCAAAGCAGGGCACAACAGTTCAGCGGAAGAAAAAAAATACTCATTCCAAGCAGCAGCTAGCTTTCATGAATGCAAACAGCAGACACAGAAACAGACCTAAAGACTAACACAAGCTAACCAGCGCCTTATCACAGAAATGCAACAGCAGGTGCTGCTGTGTAACTGAAGCTGCTCTCGGTGTTTTGAGTTAAGATAACCTCTAAGCTCTGACGTTGATTTTGTGATTGAAGCTGAGATCTGAGACCACCTGTATTACCACTGTACTCAAGAGAAGCACATCAGCAAGAAGGGACAAGTAAGTATACTGCTCCACCAACAAGAAGGGCAGCATTTTGTTTACACTGCATGAAACTCAGAGCACCCCAGGTACCAGGAAAAGTTTCTTATAAGACCCAGACCAACCATTACATCCTATAGAAAAAAAATTATCTTAGTAATTTATTCCAGTTTTGTCTCCTTGTGAAAAGATACTGCTTGCTCTCCCCTAATTTCACTGCTGGGAAACGGGGAGAAAAGTGTTGTGTTTTCCAGTCATAATCATGGTTCGCTGAACAACCGCATGTTCTTGTGGGAAGTGATTCAATCAATTAATAACTACAGCTTTGAAAAGATATTTTCCTCTTCTCAAAAGTGATTCCTTTCTGCAGCTTAATGAGACACCTCCTAACAGCAAAGAAGTGAAAGAACATACTTGAAACTCACCTGTAATGGACGAGTTGGATAGGATAGAAAAGGAACACACGTGCTGGGACGGATTTCCAGATGGCCTAGGGAGCAGTGTTCTCTGTGTGACAGGAACAACAATAAATCAAAACACATTTTATTACAAGTTGAGTGTAAAATGGTCTTCCAGGGCACAGAAGTTCATGACACCTTCTAGAGTAAGAAGCAGAATGTTATACAGATACAAATTGTGTGTCCTCTGTAAGTTACGGTAAGAAATCTCCACGTGGACAACTCTCAGACAAATGTGAATTAGAGCTGAACTCCACTCTGATTACTCATGCAATCATTTTTAATTTTCCCAAGATGCTACAGTATCTTGAGCTTAAGGATTGGATCTGGACAAACCGATCTCCCATCACAATTAAACAAGAATGAATTGAAGAGGGAACTGCATCATTTGTCAGGCTTAAAAACCAATGGAAATGCAGAGAGTGTCTCACTACCACAAATCAATTGCATGCATCTTCTAGGTCTCCTAGAGCTGTAGAGACCAAAGGGTATATTGATAGTTGATAACTTCCCTTTCCCAAGTTGAGCGTCCACTATTTTGTTTTTATTTTTGTATGTTCTCCACCTGCCCCAAGACCCTACAACAACCTGTGGTCCCACTTCACACATTATTCTCACCTGTACTACTAACGGCTTTCGCAAGTGCCGGTTCCTCAGCTTCCTTGGCTTTGGCAAGAAGAAGTCTGACTGCATCTAAGGAAGAACAGGAAATGCATTAGGAAGTATTTTAAGCATGCACACAATAAACTACATCCATAAACTCTTTTTCAATAAAACTGCAACTATTTATTAAAACGCTGCTTTGTTCCATACTGTCTAACAGTCTTTCCCAAACTGCAGTTAAGTTACATGCAGCTCATTTGATTCTGATGTTCTATCCCCACCTATTTATGCTTTAATTGAAAGCTCCTTAAACACACAGTCCAGTAAAAGAAAATGGAGCAAGAAAATCCCATTTCCTTAACTCAAAAATTAACACTTATATTCATATCTCCAACCCACTGCTAGAACAACTGAACAACTGAAACACTGCTAGAAGTTTCTCACTAGCAGTGCATTATTTTTCTTCTTGTTTTACAGGGACAAAGCTTTCACCTCACAGAAAGTCATTTCACTACTTATCTACCACAGCTTGGCAAGAAGCTGTTATTGAGACCGCATGAATATTTCAATTAAATGCAGCAGATGAAGTTGTATTAAAATTCACTGTACGTTTAGCCAGTTGTGATCAACCTGGCCAAAAGATTTCTTTGGAGCAATTTAATTAGAGAGCGAACCAGGTTCATCACGAAGCATGATGGTGGCATTCAGCTCTGAAGAAGTGACATCAACCTCAAAAATAACCAAAATGCGATTAAACTCAGCTGATACAGCTTCTGCACTACTGGAAGCGCTGCTCTGTAGGGACGCCCATGCCTCCTGATGAAACAAAAAGCCTATAATCCAACAAGCTGCTCAGGCACAGAACGGCACGTCCTCACACACTGATCTCACTTACACTGATTGTGTCTAAGTGCTGACGGAAGGTCAGCTCTGCTTCCTTGCTAGGCAAGAACAGCTTCCCATGGCGGCTGTTGGGGGGCAGAGTTGTAGGAACAGCAAAGAGTCCACCATCAGCATCAGCGCTTCCAGAACTCGAAGGTCCAGCCACCAGGAGAGGTCTGGGGAGGTTTCTCAAACCTGGAAGATTTCAGTGCAATTTAAATGAAGACAAAAATGACTATCTGGTAACTGAAGGTTACAGAGAGCTTAGACTTACGGATCCTGGCCCTGCCACTGTTTGTGGCCTTCCAATACTTGAAGGATGGACATAAACAAGAGGGGGGAAAGACTGTTCACAAGGGTGGATGGTGACAGGACAAGGGGGAATGGCTTTAAAATGAGACAGGGGAGGTTTAGGTTTGATATTAGGAGGAAGTTTTTCACCCAGAGGGTGGTGAGGCACTGGCACAGGTTGCCCAAGGAGGCTGTGGATGCCCCATCCCTGCAGGCATTCAAGGCCAGGCTGGATGTGGCTCTGGGCAGCCTGGGCTGCTGGTTGGTGACCTGCACACAGCAGGGGTTGGAACTGGATGAGCATTGTGCTCCTTTGCAACCCAGGGCATTCTGTGATTCTATGATCCTATGATTCTATTGCATTGTCTTCACCCACTGTATCAGAGGTGGATGTTGGTGGGATGGCAGCAGAGGTGGACCTTCCCACCAACACTCTGCTGCGTTTTGTTGCTGTGTGTCAGATGGCAGCCAAGGGGCACTTTGACAGAGCAGCATCTGACATGGAAGAGCAGATGAAGCAAAAGGCTGGAACTGAATCCCTCCATGTGGAAAAATGGCACCACTGACATTCACTGACACCTGCTGAATGTTTATGGAACACAAACAGTGAGTGCTGGCACAGTGAATCAGTGGGTGATGCATTTCAGCAGTGGCAACAACACAGTGGGGCACCTCCACTGGTACAGATTGGTACAAGCGCAGCACGCAGCTCTTCTTCACTGCTGGCAAAAATGCGTAACTAATGGTGATGTCTATACTGAAAAATAGTGTTTGTAGCTGAGAATTTGCTCTATCAAATACTATTATTGTGTTCTTTGTACCTGCTGTAGTTTCCATGGAAGATAAATAGAAGGCATTACATTCAATGCAACCCACACACCTGAGGGTCAGTCCTTCCACTACACAAGCTCTATATCCACCTGATCCACTCCTTTTGTAGGCTATGATAATACAAATACAGATTGATTCTACAATAACTAGGTTTTATTTGGACATCCCTCCCCAGTGTGGTAGTTCAAAGTGCAACCTCAGTAAAATGATTCCAGTGAGAGAGCAAACAAAAAGCAGGGATCATTTACCAAAAATACCTTCCAAAAGATGGATCACCTTAGTAATATGTGCAGCACATTGGAATAATGATATCTGGTCTGAACAAAACTTCTCTGTTTACATTTAAAAAAAATTAATTTCAAAACATTGTATTATTTCACAGCTCTGTGCCAATTCTGCAGGCATTCAGTCAAAATGGACAACAGTATTGTTGTGCATCAATCTTAGACAACTAAGTGTACCTCTCTTATATGCTGTACATACAACACTGCTTCATTACAATAGACAAAAATGGCTTTTTTTACACTCAGTATGGCATCCTTGCTTGGCAGGGCTCTCAGCCTCCTGCTGGGCTTCAGGTATCAGCAAGGAAACAAAACTCATCTGCCTCAACGACTTCCACCAAAGCCTGCTGCCTCCCTGGGCAGGAGAACAGTTCAGCACAGGGCTGAGCTGTCCTAACACAGTGATGGCTAACTGCAGCACTGCTCAGGAGGAGTTCTGAAGAAGAAACTTCGTAACAAATGCAAGGAATTATTATTCTCTTGTTTAAAAAGCAGAACTGCCACCCCCACCCTGCCATTCTGCACCACTGCTTTTTTCCAATGGGACAGTGGAAATTACAGTGTGCCAAAATACCTAAAAAACAATTCAATGCTGAACACCCAATGCATTTGTGTCTCCTGATCGACTAGGAATTGTTCACACGCAACATATTTCCTTTGGAATCTGTCAAGGGATGCGCATCAATTATGTAGCGATATTGTAGATATTACAGGTTATGTTGCACCACAGTTGTTGCTTCACTCTTCCCTAAATCTCTTAGCATGATTCTTTTTAACGCCTGTTATTTCCCCCCCAGCTAGCTGTGTGCCTTTTGTGAAGCTGTCTATCAGCACTTTCAGATCTTCTGCAAAGGACACGAGCTACCTTCTTTATTTTCTACTACGAAGAGCAAATCAATTTATCTTTAGGAAAATAAAGACAACAAAAACAAAAAAAACCAGTTTGCAGCTAGACTGATTCAGGACCTACTCCTGTATGGGAACAAACCCAAAAGACTCATCACCAAAAGCAGCTTGCTTTCTGATAGTCAGATTACTGCAGCCACATAATCACATCGCATATGAAGATACAAAGCAGCTTGATAATTATTGTATACTAAAGGTCCTAATCCATCATTATTTTAGATTCAAAACACCCTCAGGATGATATCAGGGCTGATAAAAGGGATTAAGTTTATCTACCAATAGAGCATGAGTGAGGACATGCTTGGCTATCAGTATGATGTACTGGAATGCCAACACCTGAGGCAGATGCTGAATATAACAGCTCAAGCAGAGTTGTAGAGGAGATAAACAAACTAGGCAGAATGCTGTATTCAGCACTTCATGCACCTGTGCTCAAGCCAAACAGATTAGCTGAAGTCACTCAGACTGTCTTTGATAGGTACTGCACAGGAGAACGACACACATTTTTCAGCCATGACTTTACCAACAGCCTTTATGCCACGTGTTCACTTCCCAGCTCGGGAAGCCTTCACTCTCTGAAGATCCCCTACCTCCTCTCATCCCTTCTCCTAGCAAACACCAGCATCTTCTTCTGACTGCTGAGACATTTTCTGGATTGAGAGCTGTGCTGTTGACAGACTGCTTTGCAAGATTCTAAGAACTGAACTTAGGACAACCCCAAAGCAAATATACCATGCTCCTACACAATAAAGTTTGTAACAGCAGTAACACTTGCCCTGCCAGAGTCACTGCAAAGTGGAACATGTCCACCATGGTATGAGGCATTCATAGTCCGATCCCTTGAAACAGATTTCTATGAATACTCACTCACCTGAGGAGCTGGAAGCAGCAGCAGGAGAAAACGTCTTGTTGTTGCGAAGGGCAGACTGATTTCGAGTGCAGCCTGGACTTCTGGTGCTGATGGTAACCACCTTCCCTGGAGGAGTCAGTGACTGCTCCTCCTGAGTAGGCTTGATAGGTGACGTGGCAACAGAGCTCATCTCAGGGGTCTGAAAACACAAGTACATTAGAAGAATATCGGCCACTGCTGGAGCAAACACACTGTTAAACTCGTTCTACTTAGGAAACACTAAAAAAACCACAACAAACCAAACCTGATGTACTAGAATACCTGTAATAATCTAACCAGTGCCTCTGTGAGCACGTGGTGGAAGGCTGAAATTCTTCCCATATGCATTTAAAAGTAGAGGTAATGACAACTATTTGACATACTAACAAAAGAGGGGCTGCTTTTAATTTAGGAGAAATTTTCATAAGCTCTAATCACCATGAGATGAAGAAGCAGAACCTGGAAGTAGAACCTTGGAAGCAGACCTGGACAAAAATACTTTGCTGTCAATGCTCATCAAATACAGACAAGTAGTTTTGAAATTTTTCCCATTCCTTCTCCTACTCCATACTGTTACATGGCAGTAAAAACAGAAGCACATGGCAGGGCACATTACTGATTTTCCAGGTCTATCCAACTGATTTCCTTGTTTCTTGCATGGTTTTCTAGAAAATGTACCCTTTCACAGGCATAAAATTAACACCCGTGCTTGACTGCAACCCAATTTGATACAGTTTGCTTTATGCTTGTAATCTTCATTTAGAAAAATGAACCATGGAACAATCAAGCATTCTGGTAATCCCGAGCAAACCGCAGGATCTGGCACCTTCAGACAGCAGCAAGTATCACCTTGACTCCTGAATGCATACGTCATTCAATGGCATTCATTGCCACAAGAAGCTTTTACATTTCATTTTTCAGAAAAAGATGAAGCGGTATTTGGAAAAATAAAGAAAAAGGTTATGCTACTTTTATTGGAATGTATTAGAAGGTACATTGCTTTTCAGGTGTATTAGCTTGCGCTGTTTAAGACAAAGAATGCCAAAAAGAAAGCCAAAAAGAAAGCATTTGTAAATAATAACAGCCTCACATCCTTTTTTTTTTTTTCCTTTGCCTTCTCCCTCAAGTTTAGTGAGATAACCTTCCTTCCATCTGCAGCTGTTAAACATCTTCCCTGCCTGTCACGTGTGCCACCCGCAGGAGATGCCAAAAGAGATCTGTGCACTGTCACACATCTGCCTGACGGTGCACCAGAAGTCTTGAGGTGAGTCTTTAAGTGAGGAGCTGTAGCTGAACAAAGATGGTTCTACATTTAGAAAGTCTTAAAACGTAAGACTGTGAAATCAGAAACAAAAGGAGGTGCTGTGCTGTTACTAAACCTGCACCAAACACAGATCAAAGACTACAGGTGTCAGGGAAGAGAGATTCATTTGCATCCTATGCTGGAATATGATGCAAATAGTATCTTCAGCTCATCACATCTTCATCGCAGGAATTCAGGCAGATCTGCTGAATTTGGCTTTTTTTGATCTTGAAAAGCATGTTTTATTAAGCTTCAATTAATTACAGTAGGAAGAAACAGCAGCCAAGTTATCACAGTGGCAGATCTTAAACATTGGTTACAGCACACAACAAGGAAAGCAAGTTCATTCCCACTTGTCAGCCTAACAAGAAATTTTTTTTCTAGATATGTTAAACATCATCCTAGAGCCTCAGAAGTTCTACAAAAAAAATCACTGTAGCTAGCCAGTTTCAAGGAAATAGATTGTTTTTCCACTTGGCATGATTTGAGCTACATTAACATTAGAAATTTAGGATTGTAGTTTTTGTTTGGAATTTTAACTTGAGAGAAGGCATTTAACTGTGCTCATGACTGATCTCCTGAGTTCACTGCAGTACTGCTGAGACTCACGACAAGCCAGAAACCAAAGGGTATTGTAAAAAGCAAATGTAGCACAGTGAGGCCAAGTCCACCCTGCAGCAACCTGTTTGGACATTTTTATTATTATTTTTTTTTTTTTTTAAACACAGGAATCTCTACAACCTTAGGAGAGCTGGTTATTGATTTAGCTGGAACATAATAGGAACAGGAAGTATTTCCCAGTTCAAATAAGAGTGTAGCTTCTGAAGGGTAAAGAAGTGCTACTTACTGGTTTGGGATTGACTTCAGTAGAGATGAGTTTTAAAAGGCAATTTAGGAGTTTCTGCTTGTGAAAGGTAGTACATGTAGGAACAGCACTTGATTCAGATGTTTGCTCCCTGGCATCCTGGGTTTCTGGCTCCAAGACAGCCAGCCAGTCATATTCCAGCTGCAGCTTGTTCGGTTTGCCCATCATGAGGTAGACTTCAGCCAGCGTAAGGCTCTCAGAAGTTCGCAGGCTCCATCCTTCTTCTCTAACTTGTTGAGAGAGCCGGCTTGGGTCATCCTTGAGAGACTTCGTGTTAGATTGTCCCTGAGGTGGAGGTGGAAATGAGGAGCTCAGCTTCTCTTGAGAATCCTCCATTACCGCATCTGTTATCTCCCTGGTACATGCATCGAGCTGCTGGCTCTGGCTAGCCTGAGCTTCACATCTGGCTGTGCCGCTGCTGGGCGAAGCCACACCACCTCTCAGTAGCTGAGAATAGGAGTCAGATGTCTCTGCGCTCCTCCCACTTGGAAAAGCCACAGGAGAAGTATCACCAGCTGCTGGAGCAGAATCCTTCCCATGTGGTTTGTCTGTGCAAGAACATTTCTCTGGGACAATCAGATCCTGACAGGACTTCATGTACCGTGGGAATGGATCGAGCAGAGAGAGCTCTTCCACATCAGGGATCTTACTGCAAGCACAAGCTGTGCTGCACGATGCTACTACAGTTGCTTGGTCACCAGCCAAGGCCTCCCTGCCTTCCACACAGAAGGCTGCTGAGCTCAGCTTTTCATGATTCCCTTCTTGATCTTGAAGTCCAGAAGGCAGCTTGCTGAGAGAGTTAGTGATGCTTGGGTTTGAGGCTGCTCCCTCCACCAGACCAGAATCTGCAGAGCCATCTTCAGTGCTTGCAGAAACTTCAGCTGTGGGCTGAGAGGTTCTGCTCGATTCTGCAGTGCTCTCAGCCCTTCCAACACTCTTGCCTTCTGTTCCCCGCGGGTATTTCAGTTGTCCCCTAGCTGTCCCCTGACCACTCTGTATGCCCAGAATTTGTGCAGGTGGTAGTAAGTGAGAGTCTTTTGTGTTCTGTTTGCATTTGCCAGTTTCCTGCCAATGCACCGTGCAGAAAGCCTTGGAGTGGACCACTCGGGCTACCCCAGGCAGTGGGGTGAGTGTACAGTTCTCTCCTGGAAAGAGATGGAGCATCACCTTCTCCTCTGAGAGGCTGCCTCGTGTTTCTGAATCTCTGGAGTCTTGAAGCTGCCGTTCCTCTAGTGTTTTACGCTAGAAAAGATGTGTTAAAGATTATAACCACTATCTGTCCCTTCAAAACAAGCACCTGATGGCCTACTTTGCAAATGAACAAAATTAGCAGCTTATTAGGGGTGTACGTTCTCTATTCAGCATAGATATGAAAACTCTACGATCAGAAGTTAGTCCTGTGTTGATAAAAACTATACTGAAGATATGCTCCAAGCACAAACTAAGTTTATGGGGACTTATTGCTAACTAGCTTTTCTGGGGATTGTACTATAGAAGAGTTGAGGTAGAAGTGAATGAAATGCTACAGGATTTCCCACAGAAGGCACTTTCACATTAGTGATGCTGAGATACTACCTCTATCTTCACCAAGCATGGGCTGGTACATTTGTTAAGCAGACTTACATTTCTTAGATGAACTTTTAAGAAGGGAATTGGTCCCAAGCCAAGGCATACAGAACAAAGGGAGAAAAGGATACAATACGCACTTCATGGAGAGCCCACTTCTGCTTCAGGAATTCAATAAGGCTGGAAACCTTCCGATGTAACTCCACAATCATCCTGTGTACAAGATGAAGCAAACGTAGTGAAAAAAAACATCAACAGAAATTCCAATCAGAGCCCCATGCTAGCATGGGAATTATAGGAACAAACTGGCATTCTGTAACAGAGCACACAGAACACAGCCACCATTCCTGAACAATACAAGAACAGCTGGCCAGAAATTGCAACATTAATACATAATTAACTTGCAGCTGTGAAAGACCTAAAAACCTACGCGATAAATCTGCCTGCCATCGTTCAAGATACTACTCTACCAGACAGAAACAGAAAAACAACAAAACATCAGAGAAGATGGCAAAATTTGGCTAAACCAGAGCAGTTCAAACAAGGCACAGTGCTACGACATGAAACATGGGAAGAAAAATGGGGACAACATTTTATTTATTTATTTTACTTTTTTTGCTCTCAAAGCATTTTAAAAATACATCTTGCACTACACATCTTTGTTCTCTTCACATGACATTCAGTCATTATGAAGAAATGCTTCACAAGGAGCTATCAGCACCTCAGAGGCCCATCAGCCACAACTTTCAGACTAGCTGTGAGGACTCAGATGGACAGCCACTGACAGCACTGAGCAACAAAAGCAGGCAGATTTGGTTGGAAGCAAGTCAAGCTAAATATTTCCATTCCTGCTACCACTGTGTTGCATTTGACACATTCAGACTCCTGATGCAGGTGCCTCTGGCTGTTGTTTTACTTCCCTCCCCTAAGCCTCTGTCTCACAGCATGTCCAGTACAAATTTTAATAGAAGTAATGCTGCCTGTCCCCAGTCCATTTGTCTCTACCCTGACAACTGGATGTAAATGGCACCAAACAAATCCATCTCCAACTTCAGCATCTCCTATCATTACCCAAATTAAAACATGTGAAGAATAAAAGTAAATCAAACTTTCCTTGAGAACCATGTACCCTGGTTGGACAAAGGCTTCAGAATAAGTATGTTTAGGCAAACTGCCTAATTATCAATTATGTACCACAGAATAGAATACTGCCCATACACTTCTCTATTCTGTCTTGAGCCATGAACAAAATCAAGTCTTCGTTACCTGAGCCGTGGATTCTGGGCAAGGCTCTGCACTCGAGCCCACGCATGATTATTTCTTGGCTGCAACTCCACGGGGACCTTGAGAGGAAGACGCACTGGCTTCTGGTCCTCTTCATCACTAATGCCTGAAGGCAGATGAAGCACAGAGGGAATGGATCAAAGCAAGAAAGCTCAAGCAGAATGCTTTATGTTCAATTACATAAGAAAAAAGCATCACAGGTATCAGCACCACCTACAGACAACTTAAGCAACTCAGCTTTACCAGTGGTGCTCCCTGCTCCCTTAGATTACCTCCCGTTCCAATATGTTGATGTTGTGCCTTGGACACTGCAGTGTCAATGTCAGGCAGCTAGAAGCTCTGAACAAGTACAGTATTTCAGATCTTTAAACTGCACTGATACTACTTATTGGGGGTGGGAGAAGGGTTGAAATAAAGAATGTAAAAAAAAATATCTGAAATGCTTAATGGTAAAAATTCACTCCTGTTTTTTCACTGATATGGTAGGACAACTAATCTTCAAATATAATGAAAGAAAAACTGGCAAAGCCGTAGCCATCTTCTATGGTATAAATATCTCCTCTGTAATTTCTGTAATCTCTGTAAAAAAATGAGTGCCATACTCAGATGGATCTTAAAGTTAGCAAATTCTACAAACAAACAGGGTTATAATAAGAGAACAGGAACATATCTGAGCCCAATACAAATGGAAAATAACACAAATTCCCCTGCCAGTAACACATACATTAAAACAGCTCTACTCTCAAATTCTTCCAACTCTCTCTTAAAACTCTTTCACATCTCAGCATCTCTTACCATCTGGATCACAGAGCTTCTTCAAAGCCCTGCACATTGGAGCTTTGATACGAAGGTTTCTGCCTTTGTAGCGAACAGTCGTAGCCCTGGATATATTGGAAGAGAAGTATTTACAGGCACCATTAACTTGAGACTTAGGTACACAGCTGTGGTACAATCAGACCAGTCATCTCTACAGGAACTATGAGATCTAGGAGTTTGCAATGCAGATTCAAAAAGGCAGTCAGGTTGTCTTTTTTTTGTTGTTGTTTGTTTGTTTGTTTTTATATTTTTCATCACCTTACTTTTTGTTATAGAAATGCTACTCTTGTAACACTCCCCTTCCAGACACCCACAACGCACTGTGTCCTGTTACGTGCAATAAGGGAAGGGTTGTTAAGATACACAGACCAAAATCATGTTACTTGGTTGCATAGTATCCTCAGATAAAGCTTGTTTGGAAAAGACAATTGGTTGCGCTTTCGTCTCTTCTTTATATTCCTAGTTTTCACTATAAAAACAAACCAAAAAACCTGAAGCTCTTAAGAAGTCTTCCACTCCATAATATAAACACAACCATTGCAGAAACGAGGCCAAACCACTTGTGCAGGAATCTGAACAGTCACTTCTACATTATAAGTTCCAATACCACAGGAGTAGCTATAAAGATCCTTAAAAACAAGACTACTTTCTGCTTCCTGAGCAGCAGAGCTACCTTCATCCAGTCAGCTCTGTTGTCTTTTTAGAGGCTTAAAAAGGCAGGCAGGCACTGATAGAAAGGTACTGATGGCAGTATTTACACCTCAAACAATAAGGACCACCGAGCACAGAAGCAGCAAGTTACACACAAGCCTTTGTAGGAAAGAAATTATGGAGAATGTTCTTAGAGCAGGATCTGGATGTAAGGAAGGTAACATCTCACAAGATGAGCACTGGTCAATGCAGCCAAGAGGGAAAGTCACAAAAGGGCAGCAGGAGGCAGAGATGCAGTGGAAGAGGTGAACAGTGCAGAAGTTTCACACAGCACGCTGTGAACCTCTGCAGGCTCAGAATAGGCCAGGGCTGGAAGGGCAGATCTCCTGAACCTGCACTAAGCCATCAGAAGCCAAGGGAACATTGCTGTAACAAAGAACTAGCAAGAAAAGACTGGGCAAACAGCCATTTGGATTCCCTGTACTTTCTGAGTTTTGTTTCACAGGTGTCCTGCTTGGCGATTCTGAAACCTGTGTAAGCAGCCCATGTGTGCCAGTGTGGGCATGAGTGCGCCAAGCTACTCGGATCAGTTACAAAAGCTGACAGAGTAATTCTCCTGCTCCTCTTGGACTTGTAACTGGGATCCATCTTCTGACATATCACTGACTCAGCCAACTGCAGCTGAACCAAAAGCTACGTGCCAGCTGCTCTTACAGATCCATGAAGTTCTAAAGACAAGTAACAGAAGTCCAGCACTGGATGCTGTTGGCTTCAATAATCAAACAGGGACGTTTAAGACAAAGATTCTGCCTTTACATTAAATAACTTAATTATATTTTCAAGCACTATTTTTATATGTAAGGTGGGTTTACAAGCTCAACTAGGAAGAGTTTCAATATGGTTTTGCTACAAGCATCTCAGAGACATTTGTTTTTCTTACACCAAGCAATAATTACACAAACTCACAGACGATGTCTGACAGACAAAACATGCAAACTGCCAGAGACAGCTCCTCACAGCCCTCGCTTCCCTTGACCCCTACCAAACAACCCCTGCTCACCCTTACCTGCTTCAGGAGAAAGTTACTGCAATCATGCATGTTCACATTTGTCATTCTTAATTGCTAATTACTTTCAGTCAAGACTTTCAACATAGTGACAAGTGTTCTGCACTCAAAGGAAAGGAAGGAGGAGTACCAGACTTGAAAGAAAGATGTTAGGAACCGGAAAAAAGAGACCCGCTTACAAATAGAGAGATCACAGAATTTTAACACCTCTGAGCAAGATGGAATGAGAACGTTTTACCTATTGGGATGCATGCATTGTGTTTGTTTGTGGAGCTACAGGGCTGTCCTGCATGGGCAGGGGATTAACTCACTTAGTGCAGACCTGCAGGTGCTAATGAGGAGGAAAACATGAGCACATTTTGCTCCTGTAAGATCTACAGGTTTCTCACCAAGCAGAGTAAGAGGTGCAGGAGGAAAAAGGAAGCCCAGACCATTCTGACTGACACATAAAGAGGATTAAGCAATCTGTTTTAAAAATGCTTTCATTTATGGAAGAAAAAAAATAGTAAGATTTGTACAAAACCCAAATGGAAGCTTCTGCTTTAATTTGAAATTTGGTAAACAAAGAATGAACCAGTGATCTCATCAGCAATCATATCCATGAGCTACAGCACATCAGCAGGCTGCATGGACTGCAGCTTCCAGGAGAAGAGACTGTAAGGCACTCACATGGGGACTTACAACCAGTGAAAAATGCAGCACCAAGTATCCCCCTTATGTAAGCTGAAGTCAGCAGCTGCTCAGTATGACAAGCCTTCCTTTTTTTTTTTTTACCTCTATTTTACAGTACAGCTTAGTTCATCAGTAATTTGCTACAATAACATAGTCTAAAAGCACAAACACCAAGAATAAAAAGCAACTTGTGTGAGACAAAATGAAACTGTTTACCAGTCTCTTCTGAAGACATGATTAGGACAAGCTGATGGCTGCTGAGCAACTGCAACTGGGAAGGCATTCAGTATAATGACCACAGTCCCTCATGATAAAAAACATATACAAAAGAAACTAAGTGTCAAATGTGAAATTCTGGCCCTGAAAAAGTAAAAGTGGTTTCAGAGTCTGGATAACTAACCCAACAATCCATTTTGAGAGTTTCAGGAGTAAGTTTTTACTTACCCGGCCTGAATAAGCTCATTGAGTTTGGCTGCATTCTTGTCATCCAGACCTTCATGTGAAAAAGGACAAAACAGTAAATTAGAATTCTAAGTGATGCAGTCCTGACCTTTATTTCTGTGCCGTTTGGTTTTCAAAACTATTACATTTTCTTCTTATGAAGGACTAAGGTGCATAAATAGGCTTAATTTTTAGAAAACATTCTATTCCCATAGAGCACAAGCATCGCATGGTCCTCGCAGTGAAAATTACATCTTAACAATTATATGACCCCAGATTAGGTGCTACACATCCTGGGTTGTTGTGCATTAATCTGACACTGCAGTATTGAAAAGAAAGCTCCCTCATCTGCCAGCTCCATCGCTGTTGCTAAGGCAGCACAGCGTGATGGAAGAGCAGAGCCTTCGCGAGGAGAGGAGAGAGAAGTCAAAATAACAAAATGCATGTGTAAATCACACCTTTCTTACATGCACTACACTGAACGTTTTAAAGACGACATTATGATAACTTGATTTGTAGTCTCTAAATAGTTGTGCTCAAATCTACTTACTGTACAATTAACCTCCCTGTGGCAATGATGAAAAAAGTCCTGATGTGCTTTTGTTTCTAAGTGGCTCTACAAAAGTTTTCTCAATTTCTGGGCAGACAGGACTGGGTAAGGAATTGCAAAACAAGGAGAAAAACAACCTTCACCACCTGCAGAGCAGGCTCCTTTAAGCTGGGTATAGGAGCTTGTCTGCTCAAGTCCATTTGATGTCAGGGAAGAGACTTCATTGCAGGCAAATTGGAAGGTAAAATATTTAACCAAGTACCAAAATCATAAAAAGGCAGAAGCACAGAGTATGCATGCATTGCCATGGTGACTGTGCAAACCCTCGTTCCCATTTGGAGCCAAGGAGGGTCTACTTTTAAGAAAAGATGTGGATAAAGGAAAGAAACACCAATACACGTTTCCACTGGCAATGCCATCTGTACCTTGCCTCTGCACCTTCTTTGTCACAGAACAGTTCAAAATGTCTTCACAGAACAAAGTAAGAACGTTCCAAACATCCTAAGTGATGACACAGTTCACTAAAATCCCAGGTGAGGGGATAATCTAACAAAAAAAACTGCAAAAATAACAGCTGGATTTGGGATTTGTACATGGCCACAACTTCTTTTTTTTTTTCAGCTCTCTGAAAAAACTCAAAAAAAATTGAGTTTACAAATGATAGAATTTTGATTATTTCCCTCCTTTTGCAAACAAAACGTGCAGTACTTGGATCCAGCACCAAATAACTGCACAAAAAACTTGGGAACGAATGAAAAGATACACATAGGTGGGCTGGAGAATACAACACTTGTTATTTTCCCCATCCTCCACGTTAGTCCCTCTGCTCTGGAAGCCATCAAGACCACGCACCCTGCTAATGCAACCCATCCATTTCCAGCAGACTGGGGAGCACAGGTAAGGCACGTGCTCATCATCTACACTTGCCACTTGCCCTTGTGGGCACAATCAGCCTGTGGGACTAACATGAGGGTCCCAATGCATTCTGACTAGCCAGGAAAGCTAATGTTTCTAATAATCCATAATGCCTTTTCCATCTTCAGTGTTCATTATTACTGAAAAGAGAGTGACCTGGAGAAAGGTGCCAGCCCAAACTTTGACTGTGTAAGCAGAAACACTTTGGAGTACAAATACTGCTCAGGTGTAACAAAACAGACAGATAATCCAAACTGCAAATACTTTGACCTGTCATCTGTGGGTGTCACATGAGCTGCATCTCACATACAGTAAAAGCTAAAGAAATACGACAAAGAAAAAGGGGACTTGTGCAATTGACTGCAATAGAATGCAATGAACACGAACTCTTCGATAAGACAAAAGTAAAACTGTACCAGACATGCCTAACTTCAAGGGAAGATACTTTTGATTCTACTGTACAAAAATAATTTCCAGTCATCTGAAACAATTCATACTCACATCCCCCGATCTTTTTCCTCAACTCTCCATAGCAGATTAGGCCATAAAGCTCCAGGGATGATTTTTTCAGCCCTTGGGAGAACACTGAAGAAAAAATAGAGAAGGTACAAGTGAGATGACATCATCCAAAATGCAGATACTCATTTCAATTCTGTGAAAAGATAAACGATGCACATTTTTAGCAATGAGACAAACACCTCACAGAAGGTAAGACTAAGCAGCTTCTGCAGGATTTAAACAAGCATCCAATTGTCCAATATATAAAATAGAGCTAATCCTGTGGCATCAACCTTACTATCATGACACTGCTTACAATTTCTGAAGAAATTATCCACATGCTCCCCAGAAACTGCATACAACTCTTTAAGAAGTTGGCCTGAGTTCTCCAGAAGATGCATACTCCACAGGAAAGCAAATTGGAGATTTAAGGCAAATTCTAGACTTTATATTTTATCTAAAGAGTTGCACTCATTCAGCTGAAGTACAGTCTATTCACTCTGCAGTAGATTCCTTTAACCACTTGTCAAAGCAGGCTATCCACAAATTGACCTGAATCCTCACTGCCCATTACTGGAGAGTAAGCAATTGACAAAAATCAATGACCACATATTGCTACAAAACACCCCTAGCAATTCATACAACTTCCCAATTTTGTTTCCATTTAGAATGCTGGGGAAGGAAAGAAAGAATGTTAAGTAGGAAACAGAACACAGGAACTCCTAACTAAAGAATTAATTACACGGTTTCAGGCTTATTTAAAGTGTAAATAACCATTTCATCACTCACATCTGTTTCAGACTACTTATTTATTTCTACCTTCCACCGAGAAGTGCAATGAAGTGCAAGAGTCAGTTTGCTTGATGAAGTCGTGCCTGACCAGCTATCATTTAGGCACATGTTCTCTAGGGTGTGTTCCTGAGAACAGAAAGAGAAACTTCCTCAAACCTGCCTTTTCCCCAGCACTAGCACCAGGATCAGCTATGGTGTGACAATGATATTGATCTTGATATTATCTTGATGATATTGATACGTGAGGCAATGATAAAGAACAGAACTTTTTGAGAAGTGTTTTGCAAAGACGATGAACCTCCCTGTGGTTACGCTCCCAATCATACAAAGTATTCACAACAGATCCTATTCAGTACTTGTTTTCTCAGTCCCATCATTTCTACCCTCCGTGATGACTCCAAAAGGTTGGGCTCCCATACGGACAAGCCTGGGAGTTCTGCACTAAGCCCACTTCCCTGCATACTAACCATTATCAAAGTCAATGTACTTTGAGATCTTGTGCCAGGTGCGGTAGTAGAAATGGCGGACCTGCTCCTTGTTCTTCACCATGCTTGCTGGCTTGCCTTTCTTCTTGTACTTCAGGGCAATGTTGTTCTGGATAGCTTCAAAGTCCTTCCCATGCTGAAGAACAAATCAAATAAATCCAAACAGTCAAAATCTCTTTTTGTAAGACAACTGAAACAACCCGAAGGATTTGGGGGTTATTTCTGGGAAGTTAGGTTTCAATGTCAAAACTCAACAGCAAAAGAATGACAGTATTTTCCTTTCCTTTATGTAAAATGCATTATGGATGCCAACTATGGATGCCACCTTTTGATTGGGTTGTTTCAAAATAAAATGTTCATTACCAGCAACTTTTTCAAAGGACAACTTTACTCAAACGCACTGAGTGGCAGAACTGAAAACACTGACTTTGTCACTCAGCTCTCCTTACTTACTTCACTACCTTCCCCTCTCTTCACTCCTCAGTATACTTCTAACCCGGGACTAATGCTTTGTTTAACAACTTCTACTTACAGGGAATTTCACATTTGAGTTATTAGTGCTACATCTGAGATTCAAGCAATGAAGGGAAAGTTGGTGGTACCTACAGAAGAAATGCTTTTACACGAGAAGCTTATTGCCATGGAAAAATAAAACTAAGAATCTTAAGTGTCCCTTAAAAACTATCCAATCCCTATAAAATCCTTTAAGAACATAAATTACCACTGAACTCCTCATTTCCCAGAATTCAGAAAATGTTGGAGTTGATTTTAATACAACTACAAAATAGGAAAATCTCTTAAATGTTAACAGCATTAAAAGAATGGAAGCAGGGAACCAAATTAACAATTCCTCTCAGTGTCAGAAGGACTTGAAGGAAACTGTTCACATGTTTGTTGTGTTGATAAAGCTCACGAATCATAACTAACACTTTAAAAAAACAAGCTTGTGACCATTCCTTCAGTTTTCACCTTCAGCACATATTTTTATAGCCATCAAGGCTCTTAAATCAGTATTCCTAAAATAACTTTGGGGAAGAAAAAAAAAAACAGGAATATATTGCATTCAATATATGAGACAAGAAGTTAGGTGATCTAACTTTCCTTGTCTCTCAACCCTACCACCAAAATGGTTTTACTCTTTTATCATCAGAGGACTAAATACAGTATTCTGCAGCACTTTAAAATAAAACAATTTCTTACTTGCTAATATTAGCATGCGTTGCTTCCAAAAGTTGAGATGGCAACATTGTTTTTTCCTCAGTTGAAAGAGAATCGTAATTGAAAATATTATTAAAAGTAACTCACATATTTACTATAGTATTTAAAAAGAAAAAAAAAAAAAAAAAGGAAAAAAGGAAAAAAGGAAAAAAGCTTGACTTTGGAAAGGTGGCTTTGATTCACAACTGTTGTACAGCCAACTGCACGGGCACACGTGCACCAAAAAAGTAATAGAAGCATACGTGGGGCGCTCCTGCAAAACCCACTTCAATCAAGCTTGTTCAGCAACACTCACATACCCAATGAAACCACGTAACCTGGTTATTTTCCTCTCCACGCACCTCATACAGTCCCTCAAAGAACGTGTTTTTGTCCTCCGTGCTCCACGACTCCCACTGCCGCCGGACCTTCTTCCCTTCCTCCTTCTCTCCAGCTGAGGAGCCCAGGTTCCTTGCTGCTGACTTGGAGTTCCCGCTCGGATTGCTGGGAGGCATTCCTGATGAGCCACCAGATGCACTCCCTCCATTATCTGCCCCTGCAAAAACCCCAAAGCAACACATGTGAATATTAAACCCACAGGGGATTCATGGATAAGAGAGGAATTCAGCCTACCTGGGAAAACACAAAAATAATCCAAGCTATCCCAGTGACAACAAGTCCCAGCACTTCCTCCCTCCAAAGATTCTGGTGCAACAACTGTAAGAGGATACAGCAGTGCAAACTTGACTGTACCTTCCTCAGTGGTTGGCACCCCAAAGGACACGATCTGTGGGCAGGGGAACACCAAAAAGCAGAGATCAGCAATAGTGGGATGAGGGTGATAAAGCCCCTGATGCAACTATGAGGAATCACCAGCTTTGCAAGTAGCAGAAAGATTAAAAGGACTGAAGAAATTGGGGAGGAAGAATTATACTGCGTATAATGCAGTAGATCACACTCCCCCAACCCTAACTGAGAAGGAAAACCCTTCTTATCTTTTAAATCACCCCTGAAACAAAGTTCTTTCGAAGATATCATTAAAAACATTGTCAATCAACTTCAAATGCATTACTCATCCACAACAGAAGCCAAACCAAGCATGGGTGATGTTCTAACAGGTTATGAGAACCCAGAAACCAGAGAGATTTCCCCAAAAGAATACTCTTTTCGTTTCCAAGAGAATCCAACCATTCTCAATAGGTTATACTCCCAAAACACACTTTCCCCCATTTTGCTAAGATGCAGCATTTAAGATTTGGCCACACATATCAGAGCACCAGTGTACCCTATAAAAAATAATCTTCCAACATTAAATATCCTCTTCTTACTATACAAAAAGAACATATTACTGTTTCCACTTGTCCAGTCACTGTCCCTTACATGGTTTATCTCAAAATAAATTGGTCATTTTAAAGTTAATTTTTCTTTCATTTCCAGGAACCATTTGATCATTTTGAAGACAATTGCTGTCACCACAGGGAAGCACATAAGGCAAAGCATGAAAGAGAATGAGAAAATTCACCAAAAAAAAAAAAAATCAACCAAAGAACCCCAAGCAAATGAAAAGCTTCTCCATGTCCTAAAGTCCCCTTCTGTGTCTCATAAAATAACTGACAATTAAGCAATTTAATTCTGATACTGTAAAGCTTTCAAAAACGTGAAACCATTGGAAAAATGTGACTTACTGTAATACATGGCTGAGGAGATGAACAGCAGTTTCAAGAGCCAGAATCACTTATTTACTCTGTAAAGGTGAAACTATTGTATCATAATTAGCATGTCTTTAATATGTTTAATGCCTTTATTAATGATCTGGATGAGGCATTGGGTGCACCCTCAGTAAGTCTGCAAATGACACCAAAATGGGGGAAGCACTGATCTGCCTGAGGGTAGGAAAGTCCCACAGAACAAGTTGGACGGGCTGATTGCTGGGCTGAGGTTCAGCCAGACAAGTGCCAGGTCCTGCACTTCGGCCACAAGCCCAGACAACACCACAGCGTGGGGCAGAGCAGCTGGAAGGCTGTGTGCAGGAAATGGACCTGGGGGTGTTGGTCAACGCTCAGCTGAACGTGAGCCAGCAGCGTGCCCAGGTGGCCGAAAAGGCCAACGGCATCCTGGTTGTGTCAGCAACAGTGCAGCCAGCAGGAGGGAGGTGATCGCCCCACTGCACTCAGCCCTGGGGAGGCTGCAGTGTGTGCTCAGCTCTGGGCTCCTCACTGCAAGAGATCATTCAGCTTTCAACAACAATTCACATGGAGACATGGAGATTCCATACTTGGTACCTGAACTATAACCTCCAGAAAGACCACAGATGAGAGAATCAGTGCTTCAGACACTTGTTTGGTAATTCAGTGTCCTTCCTTAGAATTTCAGATACCTTTTTCTGTAGATGAAGACATCTTCACAGTCCTATGGAAAACTAGAATACTTGCAAAAAAAAAAAAAAAAATACAAAGGGATTTAAAGAGTGCAGCTTGAGATCTAACATGAAAATGACACTCAGTGGGACACTGCACATATCACAAGTTGCAGGCAGTACCAGTGTCTTGTCCTGACTGTAGCCACAAGTTCCTCCTTTTAACCTCCTGGCAGCATCTTAGTGTCTACTCTTCCGTTTTCTACCAGCAGCTCCTACCTGCCTGCTGATTCACACCTTCTCCTAGGGATTTTGGAACTTGGCAGAGTCAAGCCCCACTACACTCACGTGTCTCAACATGGAGGCTGGCTCTCTTACTGGCCTTCTTTAGGGTTAGCTGCAAAGTGTGAACTTCTGCAGGAGTCACCAGTCAGCTGCAGGTGGAACAGCTACTCTGAAATACCTTTAGGAGGGAGATGCTAAGTTCACAGACCTGGTGATGTTTTTTTGGACTCAATGATCTTTAAGGTCCTTTCCAACCTGAGTGATTCTGTGATTCTATGACTCTTGCACGCTGCAACCAAATCCAGAGTGCAAAACGCTGACTCCCTCTGCAAGGCATGGGATGCAAACACTGACTTGTAACACATCAGCAAGATTCCTTCAAAGCATTTTATCCTTGCTTTGGATTCTATACAAGCCAGTAACGAGGCTGAACTACAGTGAAGTTCAAAAGCACTTCTTGGTAAGGAGTGCTACTAAGAAAGCCACTGCAGAAAATGCTTGACTGTTTTATTCTCACACACCTGCAGCCTTGGCAGTCCTCAGAAATGTGCATCAAAACACTTGCAGCCAACAGAGTTGCATACAATGCAAATAGTCTTAAACTTTGCAGAACACTTCCGAACTCGTTCTGCTATTCTCATGACAGAGCTCACCTCAAAATGCATTTACTCCTCACTTTTAATTACTGGAGAAAAAAAAAATCCAAACTTTCTTCCTGATCACAAGGTATACAAGTCCCAGTTTTAGCCACATGTCTTTCCAAAGGTAAATAAGACATCATACATCAAGTGACTGCATTGGTAGTGTACAACACAGGAATTTAAGTGAAGCCACTTGCTCTGCAGCTGGATCCAATTTGCTCTTCTCTCCAAGAACTGCAGCTTAGAACACAGGCAAGAGAGGGAGAGACTGACATATTCCCAGCAAGTCAGTGCTTCAAACTGAGGACTAACATTTTAACTGGAAAGTGAGCTTCTACACTGCATGTCTCTGTAGTAAACAGCAGAGACTTCTAAGAAGGCCTAGGACAGTTAAAGCCATGGCGTATATTCATACCATGTTACACTCATTATGAATTAACACCCAAAGCTTTATAATACAACACATGAATGCCCTACAGAAATCAAACAGCACAGCTTCTTCCATCTCTTACTATTTAGATTTGCAAAACCCAGATGTAGGGTCAAAGTGGATGCTCATCCCTGCAGGCATTTAAGGCAAGGCTGGATGTGGCTCTGGGCAGCCTGGGCTGCTGGTTGGTGACCTGCACACAGCAGGGGGTTGGAGCTGGATGAGCTTTGTGGGCCTTTGCAACCCAGGCCATGCTATGATTCTCTGATTTAGCTGAACACATGTAAACCAACAGGTGAGCACACACAAAATTATACTAGTGCTTGCTTTTGTATGGACAGTACACATTTAAGCTATCAGTTGCAGCAGTATCTGAGTTAACCAAGCATCATTGTTAAAAAAAAAAACAAAAAAAACACCCTATTTTCTTTAAATAAGTAAATCTTGTCACTGTCCTGCCTCAAGTAAATCATTCTCTTGCTGTTCCACTAGAAAAAAAAATCCTTAAATAGAATAACACATTGTAAGCATGTATACTGGGCACAGAGCCTGCTACAGGGTTCCATCTGCACCTGTACCTTGCAGGCACTTTTCAAAGCTCAGTACCTACAGTATAGGGCACATGAAACAAAGTCCTCCTGTTGTGGTCTGAGATGAGATACCATGGAGTTCTGGTCCTCAGCCACCTTAAATGGATATGTCAGGGTGGGATGGAAGGAGGGGTATCAGTGGTAAATGAGATGGACAGAATTAAGAACATTAGAACAAGGGGCTGTACGAATAGTTTTTAAAGAGCCATTCATTCCCTAGAGAAATGATAGAGGAACAGTATTTCACTCAAAGGTTAGAACACGTGTAGCACACACATTTGATACAGTAAAATCATATTGTTAAGTACATGCATCAGTTATCCTGATACATTCAGCCTCTTCACAGGAGGACATACTAACTAATTTAATTCACACACTACAGAACAAGCAACTTTGGTTGGCTGAAGCAAACTACGGAATGCTTTCCAGTGAGGTTTACACAGTGCAAAAAGATGGAATGTTTCAATTCTATTCATGTTTTCAGCAGAGGTTGCTTGTGGTTTTTACTTTTTAAAGAAAACTGCTTATTATACATTTTATGAATAAATCTGGAGTAGCAGCATGACAGATATCTTCAAGCTTCAGCTCATCACCACTATGTTTTGTTAGTGCTTCCTCCTGCCTGCATTCTGCATTCACAAAACAGATGATAACCACAGAAATGGTTATGTTAGCTTTTAACCCTATGCTAGCTCACAGCAGAGCTACAGCACACAATGGCAAGATTCTACAATTACTTTTGGTAACATGGTGACAACACTCACGTGTGTATTTTCACCACTTACTGCTTCACAGAAAGAAGTCCCCAAACCCACTCTAAAACTGATGCTCAACAACGGCGCAGATTGTTTGTACTGAAGAAGAAAACTCAGAAATCCCTCTTGTTCAGCAACCTTGTAACGGCCTGCTTCCTCTTCTTCCTCTTCCTCAATCAACTTCTGTATCTCCAAACTCTCAATCAACTGCCTCCACCATTCCCTTGGGTTCCTTCTCTGGTTTGCTGCAAATTACTTCAAGACTGACCTCCAAGCATCTGTACTCCAAAAGGAGCGCTCTGTCTGAGCCATGGAACTTGAAATAATTAAGATAGCCAATATTCAAAAATAAGGTAACAATAATTTCCCCCAAATTACACATATTTAGATTCTCGTGCAGTGAATTTAATAAACCTTTCAGCAACCAAAATGGTGTGACCTATGCAAGCTCACGATTTCAAACATTTCCCCTCTATTACAATAATTTCATGCTTTTTTCTCTCCCTCCCCCACCCCCCCAAAATAAAACTGCAACACAGTACACACAGAAAGGGTAAATCAGAATAAAAAATTCAAATAAAATAATCTGCAGCTAATTGTTCTATCGCAGTCATTGGAAATTAGTATTTTCATGCGTTTTACTTGGAAGAATTTGTGAGTTCTTATAAACCCTCCCAGAACCATAGGAATACAGTAAAGTCAAAACACCAGCAGATGCTGAGTGCATGAAGTCCTCCAGAGTTATGTACACTGAAGTTTACTTCAACAACAACTTCTTTGCTCCAATAAAGTACTCTAAAAACAGAAGAGCAAAAAAAAAAAAAAAAAAAAAAAAAAAAGGATGTGACAAACTGAAAATACAACCACTTTGAAACAGCTTTTAAAGACACAACTAGAACAAACTAATGCCTGCTGGGTAACGGCTGCTTGAAAGAAATTAATTTTAACAATCACATTCATTAATCAAAGGATGGTTATGTTGGAAGGCACCTCACATCCCCCCCAGTCCCACCCCTACCATGGGCAGCCTGCCCCCCCAGATGAGGCTGCCCAACGCCCCGCCAGGGATGGGACCCCCACCACCAATAATAGCATTCAAAAGAGATTTCACTTCAGAATACACAGATTCTGAAAGCAGGACCACTTTGATATAACCTGAAGAGTTACATACTGTTATTAAAAGATCACAGCAGAAACAAGTTCCTGGTTTCAGTGGACCAAATCTAAGCGTGGTCTGAACAGCCCTTCTGACCAAGGTCAGTGTTACCTTTGCACTTATCATGCTGCTTGTGACAAGCAAATCATAAAACAGACTCAAATTTCCAGGGCTGATACAAAAGATTCAAGCTTTTTATCTTTTTTATACTTTGAGGGGAAGAGAAAGTTGACAGGATAGCAAGTGCAGGGATTTAAGTCTCAACTTTACTGGAAATTTTCAATGTTCAACTGGTTCTCTACTAAAGTCAGCTTAGAGAGACACTTCATCAGGAATGCACAGCCCTATAAATTCTGATAACACTGGATTAGAGAGAACTCAGACAAACCTGGAAAGCATCTCAGTATGGAGCTCTGCATGTAAAGAACTCAAACCATGAGGACTGCTCCGAAAGTAATGCCTCCTTCCTCACTGCATTGGCCCACAATGTCAGCCACCTCTTTTGGGGGGACGGCAGCAGAGGCTGAACCTTCCCACCAATATCCCATTACCTTTTGTTGCTGTGTGACAGACGGCAGCAGAGGGGCAGCTTGACAAAAGGGCACCTGACACGGAAGTGCACACGGAGCAAAGGTGTGTCACTGAATTCTTCCACGTGGAAAAACGGCACCCACTGACATTCATCAACACCTGCTGAACACCAATGGAAACTAAACAATGGATGTGAGCATAGAGAGGAGGAGGGTGGCGCATTTCAGCAGTGGGGACAGTGGGGCTGCAATCTGCATGAGCATGACATGCAGCTCTTGCTCATCACTGGCAAAAGTGCACCACCAACAGAGGTAACAATGCTGAAAAATGGTGTTTGGTTTTTTTTAGCTGAGAACGTGCTCTATCAAACAGTGCCACTCTGTTCCTTGGATCTATTTCAGTTTCCATTTGAAATTATTAGGAGGCATTACTTTTGGAGCAACCTACGTAGAGAGGACCCCACTGCACAGGTCTGTTCTCCAACAGCTGGCAGTTACAATCCTTGCCATGTGACGGAAATCAGCTTTCAGACATTCACATCTAAGCCAGGCAAAGACGTGGCTGGTCTTACAATTCAAGAAGGGAAACTACAGTTGTCATTCTACCAATGACCGTCACTCCCAACAATTTAAGAAAGTCTCCCCAAACCTGACAGTGTAGTCAAGCACAGCAATTACCAGTCTATGACCATCTACTGAAATAAGATGGCCTATTTTGTATATAGCTTTATTATGGCTCTTTTGGAATTTGAACTGCAAAATAAACTCAAGTTCATTCTTAGCTGCGTTTTAACCCAGGAAGAATTACTCCGCTCCTCTAAAATCATAAATTGAGTATTTATGTACAAATGTAAATATACACATGAACAAATTATGTCATCTTTGTGCATGTGTGCATTCGCTTTCAGAGAGAAGAAGTAATTTCAAATGCATACAATGCACTTGTCCATGATGGACAATACACTCTACAAATAAACATCTCCTCCCATTTAACACCACTTACAACCCTTGAAATAATTGTCTGTAGCTAAGCACTCCTGGGTATTCCATCTGTTTGTTTATTTGGTTTAATGCAGCTGGGAGAAAAAATTACGCAGCCCTTTCTGCTCTATCTTCCAACAGCACACACAAGAAGACCTTCACTTAAAAAAGTTCAATGTCTTAAAGCAGACTTACTAAGAATCCCTCAGCCAATCATATAAACTGACTGTCAAACAACTGAGCTCAGGGTTTTTTCATTATATGGCAATAACTAAAACACCACCATGTGCAAGGGGCTGCTTTCCTCCCATAACACAAAACTATAGCAATTCTTAATGCTCACCTATTGCCCAGCATGCACATAGCACTGCAACGGACTGAAAAAGTGGGGTAATGCCCAATATGCATTTGAGCTGCAGTTTGATTTTGTTTCAGCGGACAAGAATAAAACTTGTAGCTATTTCTAGTCTTAAAGAAACCTGCAAGTGTTATTTTCTCTCAAAATGTATCAGAAATTAATATTTGAGTACTTTCGGACAAGGTACCCAAGATTAATGTCAAGCACCGCTCCGTTACAGCGCCAGGTGTTGGCCGGGGAGAGCCGAGCACACACAATAGCACCAAAGACTCACATGGCCTTGCTGCCTCCCAGCTACTTCAGAAAGAAACAGCTCTGACTAAAAGTCTCACTCTCATCCTCACTGCTGAAGCAGGAAAGCCTATATATGTGTGTGTACATATGCATGCAGGCACGTATGTGCATGTACACAGATGAAACCTTAAAAGAGAAAAACAACAACAACAAACAAACAAACCAAACAACAAAAACCCACCCTCAAATTGTATGGAACTGCCCCCAGCTGCTCTAGAGAATACAGCGAGGGCAACTCACAAACCTTTGGAAACAAACAGTTCGAAACGTGCGCCTCAAAGATGCTTCCGAAACAGTTCCATGGTTAAAATAGTCACAGAAATCATTGGGGAAAAATCAGCAGTATATCAGGGTTTTCTTTTCCCCCCATTTATGAAACTATCACCCACTGAATTTTTTATTATTCAGTGACAGAGTTCAAGGCACAGCCATCTGATTACACAGCTTGTTAGAGTCTAATTTCCTAATGAAAAACACAGAAATTTCCTAAAACTCAAGTGATGAAACACAAGAAGGAATGGAAGGACTGCTCCAATAGTGGAATTTTCCTCTTCCACATACAAACCCAGCCCACCCCCACTCCCCCACCCCCCTTTTTTGGGAACAGGACAGTGGGCAGCAGAGAAGTTGAAGCCTTGGGACACAAAGAAGATTTCAGCTGCTGTGAGAACAGGCCCCACAGCTCCTTCCCCAAAACCAAACAAAAGATGGCATCTGCAGGAAGAGAATGACAACCCCCATACACACAGGTGGCCCATCCACACCCCACCCCCCTGCAGGTTCTGGGGGGTGCCAGAATACAGTACCTTTGCCTTTTACAGCAGCACTGCTCCCAACTGAAGAGGATGCCTGGGAATCCTTCTTCAGCCTCTTGCTCTGAGGTCTGACACTGGACCTGAGAAAATGATGCTGGTCCTGGCTGTGGGAGGGCTGGAGGACAGCCGAGGCCTGGGCTAAGCTGGGGTTCGGCGGGGGGCTGCTGGTAGTGTTGCTGTTGATGATCTTCTCTTCTTTCTTTGTGCCGCTGCTGCCTGGAGCTGCCTCTCCTCCTCCTCCTGCCCCTTCTTCTTCCAGGGACTCCTCATCTCCTCCTGCTCTCTTGCCCAGCTTTTTCACCCCTTCCTCCCCGCCGCTCTCGCCCAGTTTCACTGTCATCCTGTTGGGGAGGAGAAAAAGAAAGGAGAAAGACATAAAGTCAGGCCGGGGAGCCCCCCAGAGAGGGGCAGAAACCCCTGGGCTGAGAGGGGAGAAGTTTAGCTGCAGAAATTCCTCTCAACATGGCCGCCGTTGTTTGTTACTAAATCCCCTTTCGTTTGCTGTCCCGACCCAACAACCTGTGCCGAGGGCGGGAGGGGAGAGCTCCGCGGGAACCCCCCGAAACCGGCCCAAAAGGCGGCGGGGCTCCCCCGGCGATCACCCCGGCACCCCCCGGAGGGCTCCGGGCCGCCTTCAGAGGAGAAATCGCCGAGGCGAACTCGGGCGCTGGAAGCGCTCGGCAGGCGGCGAGGGAGGCAGCGCCGGGCCCGGCGGAGCGGGGCAGAGCGGTCGGGCCGGCCCGGGGCTCGGCCCCATCCCACCCCCTCGACGGCTCCGGGAGCTCCGGGGGGGCTCCTCGCCCTCCTCACCGTGGGGCCGAGCCGGCCCGGCCCGCCGCGGGGGGGGGCTCCATGCTCCTCGATGCGGCGGCGGCGGCTTCTCCTCCTCCCTGTGTGTGTGTGCGGCTGGGGCTGGGACTGGCCGCGGCGACCAAGATTTCCAGCTCCCCTCCGCCCCCACCCCGCACCTCCCCGGGGCCGCGCTCCACCCGGGGGGCTCCGGGCACGGCCGGTCCCACCGCCTCTGCGGGGAGCATCGCCCGGCCGCGGTTCTCCCGTCAGCGACGGCCGGGCCGGGCCCGGGGCCGCCTCGTCGGCGTCTGCCCGCGATGCCCGGCGGCGGCGGAGGGACCCCCGCATCAATGCGCCCCGGGGCCGCCACGGAGCCCCGCCGCCTCCACGCCGCGCTCGGGAACCGCGGCCTCAGGGAGCTGCGCGCGGTTATCTGCCCGGGAATGGGGCTTCGAGGGGCACCCGGGTGAGCCTCCACCTCAAAACGTGCCCGCTGCACTGCGAGCTGTACTTGGAGCACAGCACCCGGTGTGGGCGCCCAAAGGCGCTCAGACCCACTGCCTACTGAAACCCGAGGTTTTGGAGAGAGCGTGGTGGGCACCTCCTGAAGTCCACCTGGAAGGAAGGCCATCCAGCAGCAGCGGGAGAACAACGCCCACATTGTGGCTCCCCACAGCAGCAGCAGAGCCAACTTCAGAGCCAACTTCAAGCATGGGCAAAGAGATGCTCACAAGAGAAGGAAACTCAAAACGTCACCCATGGAGCAGTGGCATTACTGCGCATTGGGCCAACATCATAAAAACGCGCTTTAAAGTGCACCAGGTGCATCACCTGCCTGTGACATGGGAGTGTGTGTGCCTGCAGGTCGTGGCACGTGCTCCTGTGACTGAAGCGAAGCTTTTTCCTCTAACATCTCCTGGCCGAAGCACTGCGCCCAGCAGCCCAGAAGGATGTTGGGCAATGTTCCATTCTTCACAGTAGGTACCATATGCTGGTGTGAACCACAAATCTAAACCCATGTTAAAACTTCCATACTGAAATTTCACACCAAACCCTGACGAAGCCCTGATTACCCACACAAAGACTTCTCCAGACGACTAAACCACGATGCTTTCAGTTGTTAGAATAACAGAAATCTTACAACTCTGACAGCCCGTGCTCAGACATCCTCTTCAGCAGGGCAGGATCTGACCCCACCCTCAGCTCCACGGCCACAGACTGGGTGCTGCACCCCAGCACCAGGGCAGGAGAGTTCCCCCCCCTTTAGCGAGTCCTCGAGGCAAAGCAGCCATCCCCGGCCGTCTCCCCGCTCCCGCCAGCCCTCCGGCCGGGCTCACCCCGCTGCATCCCCTCCCTTCTCGCCCAACGCCACTTTCCCTTTCTCTCTCCACCCGGAACACTCCCGTCCCGCCACCACGGGCCCCGCACCGCCCCGCAGCCCGGCCGCTCTCCCCGCACGGTCGCCGGTGCTCGAGCATTCGGCCCCGGGGACACGCGAGACCCGGGGTCCCCGCCCGCCCGGCCCGCAGCGTTACCTGCCGCATCAACGCCGCCGCGCTGCCTCCGCGCTCCAGCTCTCCCTGCGGCGGCCGCTCCGGCTCCCCCGGCCCCAGGCACCCCCAGGCCGCGCCTCGCAGCTGCCAGCTCGGGGGGAGGCCGGCGCGCCCCGCGACCCCCGCGGCCTCCAGCGGCCCTCCCGACGCTGCCGGCGGGAGCGGCAGCGCTTCCCGACCGGACAGCCGACCTCTCGTCCCCGGTTCCCCCGCAACCGTGGCGCCACCGGCCGGAGCCGCGGCTCCCTGGCGCCCAGGCTCGGCCCTTACGCGGGCCGCGATGGGTCCGGGCCGCCGCGGCTCCGCTTCCTCGTCAGCCTGCGCCGGGCCGAGGGGGCGGGGCGCGGCGCGCGGGCCCCGCTAGGCGCGCCGCGGCACACCCCTCCCGCGACCCCAAACAAACCGTCGCATTGGCTGACGGCACGCGGGAGCGAGGCGGGGGGCGGGGACTCAGTCTGGACTCCGACCAATGAAAGCGCGGCGCGGGGCGGGTGACGACAACTTTACGCACAGGAAGAGGTGGCAGCCGGTGTCCGTCTGGGGGCGGGACGATTCCCAAGATCTGGCTGTCGATTGGCTGAAAGGTAACCAATTGAGAGCGCTATCGTTGGAGGCCTTGGGCATGCTCTCGAATATCATTGGCCGGCGAGGTGTTGCTTTGCGTGCGGCGTTGTAGTCATTGCCCGCAAGGGAGAGCAGCGTTTGTAGTTGGAGCGAGGGCAGAGGGAGAGGTTGGGTTGAGTTGGGTTGGGTTGATGAGGTACTGGCTGGTGCACTCTTCTTAGCAATTGACAGCTTTAATCAGCTCATTCTTTTTCCTTAGTGTTGAAAATGAAATGCATAAACTGACAGATGTGGAATCTGTAGGAAACGTTTATCACTTTCAGGGCTTCCAGTTTAATTCATGTGAAGTTCTCAGCGTCTCCAGAATGAAGGAAGCTTTACTCAGTGATGTACAAAATTAAGAGGGGTTTAATTTCATTTGCTGTGTTGGCCTGCTTTCCAGTGACTGCAGCATATAAGCGGTGATTTCTTGTTAATGGCTAGCTAAAACAATTTCCAAACCTTAGCACAAGTACCGTGCAGTTTTTTCCCCCAGCAGCTGTTGGTAAATGATGTGTGAAAAGGATACTCTCTTAGAAAAATTTCCTGGGTCTCACTGTAGGAAAAGCTGTTTTATTCCTGTTCATTCAAGGAAAATTGTCACAAGCAGGTGATCGTCCCACTGCACTCAGCTCTGGGGAGGCCGCAGTGCTGTGCTCAGCTCTGGGCTCCTCACTGCAAGACAAGACAGCGAGGCCCTGCAGCGTGTCCAGAGAGGGACATGGAACTGTGAGGGTTCTGGAGCACGAGACTGAGGAAATGGGATGGTTCCATTTGGAGAAAAGGAGCTCAGGGGACCTTATTGCTCTCAAGAGCTCCCTGGAAGGAGGCTGTGGGGAGGCAGGGGTCAGCCTCTGCTCCCAGGTAATAGCGATAGGATGAGAGGTAATGGCTATGAGTTGTGCCAGGGGAGGTTCAGGTTGGATATTAGGAAAAATTTCTTCTCAGTAAGAGGTGAGGTAATGGCACTGCCACCCAGGTGGTGGTGTCACGATCCCCGGTGGTGTGCAAGAGGTGTGGAGATGTGGCACTGAGGGGTGTTGTCAATGGGCGCAGTGTGATGGGCTGGTGGTTGGACTTGGTGATCTTAGAGGGCTTTTCCAATTGTACTGATTCTATGATTCTAAGCTATAGTGCAGAAATCTGCGGCTTAACAATCTGACCTTCAGAATGGCAGGTGAACTGTGGCAGTTCAGGCCCCCCTGGTGTTGCAAGTAACCATCTTATGATGTTAAATTCAAGCATGCCTTCTCCTTTATCATCTTCTATAAATACGCTCTGAAGCACAGCTATGAGTAACAAGTTTATTGTTAGAAATTTGTAAACACAGAAGAGCCAGCTTTTGTCACAACTGCAGAGGTTTGTGTTTTAATCCACTCTTTAATTAGTTTGTAGAGAGTATTTTTTTTAGTCTTATTATAATGTAGCGTGAGATCATATGGTTTGTATCAAGTATTTTTGCCACTTGGTTTAACCACAGGCAAATTTAACCATGTCAGGAAATGAGGCTTTCTGCATCTATAGTGCCATGTATTTAAATGATGCTCTGCAAAAACACACAAAGACATGTTCAGTTCCCCAAAGGCTCAGAGCTGGAGGTTCCCATGTGTGTAAATAACTTTGTATGCTTGTATGTAGCCCCATTGCCTCAAGTAGACTGGTAAGGTGTAAAATAGTCATGTGCGTAAATGTCCATGAAAGAAAGACTGAATAAAAAGGCGCTGGACAAGAGCTGAGAGGCAGGGTGAGGCTGAAATGTTGAAAAGCACTTGAACCGTTCATTTGTTTGATGGTAGGGAGGCCGTGCTTGTGCAAACCTGTGCAGATACAACATGCAAATAATCTTTCAGTGTTTGTTGCCATGGTTTTCTAGACTGAGCAAGAACACAAACAGATTTGTTACTCTTCCAGTGTATTTTGAAATGAATATAGATTGCATGCACTGTGTACTTGATGTTTTATTGTCTGTGGCGGTCTTAATTTTGTTTTATGTTGTGGTCTTAAGTTTGCACTTTGTGCTAATTACAGTGTGAAACTTATTTCTGAGAGTTCTTAGCCATCACCAAAGTAGGTGTCATCCTTTTAGCTTAGCTATTAATTTTAATAATGCATCCGTTCTTAAAAGACTCTTAAATTGAATAATCTGGCAAACGATGATGGATGATTTCAGTGTTTGTACAGCAGTTCTTCCCCATTCAGGTAAGAGGATTTAAACCAAAGGTCAGACGTCTGTTGTTAATCCTTCATGTCTTACTAAGCAGGAATTGCCTAATCACACAGCTTTATTTTCCTCAGCAGCTGAGGTCAAGCCCTTAGAGGAAGGGATGAAATGCACTGCATGTGACCGTGCTGCTGAGCCTCTTCTTTGCACATCCTTGGGACCTCAGAGCTGCTAACTGGGCATCTTTCTTGAAGGCAGTGATCAAAGCACCCTAGGATGATGGTCTGCTTATGTCTCCAATAGGATATGAGCATCTTCCAGCAGGGCTTCTCTGCTGAATATTACTAGGAAACGCCAATTTCCATCTAAATCTGCACAACTGGAGATATATAATTTAGATATTGGCCGGACTTGCAGTACTAATGGAATCGGGTAAATGTGAAAGCTGTGAAATGGTCACTCGAGCAAAGATGGTCCACGTTTTTTAGATAATTCTTACTCCTGTTAAGGTGTGGAAGACGCTCACGCGTGTTCCCATGCAATGCTACCTCCCACCAGTGCTGCTTTCTGACAGCACTGACGTTTTTCTGTCCGAAATGTCCCAGTAACCGATGTACGCCTCGGTGAGAACGAGAGCTACGAAGCTCTCCGTGGCGCTTCCAGCGGGCCGGACCGGCCCCTCTCGGCCCCTCTCGGCCCCTCTCGGCTCCTCTCGGCCCCTCTCGGCCCCTGCCGGCTGCCCCGCGTCGGCCGCTTCCGTCGCTCTTCGGTTTCGCTTCGCAAGTTTCCGCTCAGGGCCCCGCCCCGTTGTCAGGGGTAACGAGGAGCATCGGAGCCAGCGCGGTCTTCGGGTGGCGCGGCCGCTGCAGGCAGAGCGGGCTGTGGGTACGGCCTGCGCGGGACGGGGCGCCGGAACGCGGTGGGGCGGGGAGGCGACTTCAGCCGGGAGCTGGGCTGCGGGCGTAGCGGGGCCGAGCAGCGGCGGCCGGGCCTCGTCCCGACGGAACCGCCCCGGAGCCGTGCAGGGCAGCGCTTTTCATCCAGCTGTGCGTTGCGGTGAAATTGTACCTCTTTAGGTTGGTAGGTGCGGCCAGGCACAGCTCCGGACAGCTGCCGACCTGCTCCGGCCGGGATCCGGATGGCTGTGTTAGGTTCGTAGTGCTGGGTGCGCTGCGCTGAGCTCCGTGAGGATTCCCCGAGGGCCGGACTGCAGAGCCGTGCCAGCACTGGTGTCCGGAGTGGGGCTGCTCCTCTGGCCAGGTAGGAACAGGAGCAGAGGTTGAGCTTCAATCTCCCTCTGCTTTCCTCTGTTAGCTTTCTATGCATTGTTTCAAAAGTGCCTATCGTGTATATCCTCCATGATCCGTGTGAGGGAGGGGATTGTCCCCCTCTGCTCTGCCCGCGGAGCCCCCAGCTGCAGTGCTGCATCCAGGCCTGGGGCCCAGCGCAGGGAGGGTGGGAGGCAATGAAGATGCTCGGAGGTTGGAGCAGCTCTGCTATGCAGACGGGCTGAGGGAATTGGGCTTGTTTAACTTGAAGAAGAGACTTCATTGTGGACTTTCAATACTTAAAGGGAGCTTATAAACAGGAGGTCTTTAAGTCCCTTCCAACCTAAGCTGTTCTATGATTGAAGAGATCACATAGCTGGGCTTGATCACCTTCCATACCTGAACTTTGTGAGAAATTCTTTTTTCAACCTTGGAAAAAAGTAGGACGTGCCATGCCAGGAGCGCTTATGGAAGACAGTCCTCGTTTTTCACTTTCTTCTTTGAACAGTTAAGATAGATAACGAATTTTTAAGATTATGCAGATATAATGTTGGTTTGGTTCCCGTGTGTATTTCACGTTGCTGACAGTGTCAGTGGCAAGGTAAGAACCACCAGGCTATTTAAAAACATTGCCTATCTTTCTAACACATCTGATCAAAGGTGCTGAATTTGATTTTTCTATTTTGGGGGGGAGAAGACAACCCTCTTAAAGAAAAATCTTTATTTTAAGCAGTGATGGAATATTTAAACTAAAGAGACTTTCTGTGTCTGATTGGTGACCTGGGCAGATCTTCTTACCTACATGTGCCTACAGGTCAGCAACTCGTGTCTGAGGTGGTCATAAAAGATCTTCGTCCCCACAGGTGTCAAGGAACTGTTTAAACCTTCGATGGGTTATTTTAATTTCTTATTTCTCAGGTCTTGGCATTTTAGCTAATAACTGAGGTGCTTAAAAGGTGGTTGTCTCTGGCTGTTTGTTCTAAACCAAGCCAATGAGATTGTACAACACAAATCCCCCAACCAGTTTTCATATGTAAACTTTCAAAGACCGAATTACCCACTCCATTTCTGAGA